TTGCTATATAGCCTTATTCTATAAGAAAAATCAAAATAAAAGATACACTAGATAAAAGCGCTATTAAACATATTTAAATTGCATTCGCTATTAAAGGAGCTAAATAGCTAATATTTGGGACCTAGAAATTGTCACAAATGGGTCGCACTAACAGCAACATTTGCTTCGGGCATATTTGTTTCATCAGTGACACGTCTGGTGTCATGTAAATGTAACGACAACAGCCTGATTGATTGATTTGTTGATTGGACCACTTTCAGGTTGCCGTATTCACGGCCTGGCAAGACAACGCGTTTTCCGGCTTGAAATTTCTAGAAATCCCCCGACGGTGCGTTTCACGACTTCGGCGGTGACCTTTAAGAGACGTCGAAAACCATTTAAAAGACATAGTAAAAGTCATATCTTACGAGATTATCGCTGGTCTTGTCGGAAAATGCCATTTTAAATTTGACAGTCATTTTGAAAGAAATGCCCGGCGCCATACATTTGAAAAATACATTTTTTGATTTTTGTCAAATTCGTTTTTCGGCATATTTCGCCTCTATGACCACTTTGTATTTGAAAAATTTAAAAAGAAATTATTTATTCCCCACCTGCACTAAAACACACTGATTACGAAATATCGCTCTACGAAACTTTCTGGTTTCTTTTGCAATTTGTTTGGGGTAAGACGTTATCACCCCCCGCCTATGTATAAATAATATCAATCTGTCTACCACACAAATTTAACAGATACAAATGCATGTTATTCCACAGGTAAACAGACAGGGCCCCCTTTGAAGGGGCTCAGTGAAGGGGACGCAGTTGGTTTAGAGTTTGTCTGACCCCTTTGAATATTTGCGTCTTATTTCCAATGAAAACAATCATGTTGCTCTGATGCTGTTATCAACCAGTATCAAACATACATCGTACCTGCACTGAAAAAACACTTGTGTTGGATCTCAACACAAGTACTTGTGTTAAAACTAATCTACACAAGTTATGTGTTGTTTTGCATTGCATTAACACAAACTTGTGTCGATTTATAAAATCTTGTGTGTTTTTTCATATCATAACACAAGTAATGTGTACCGTCCACGATTTGTTTTCTTTAAAAAAAAAACTCCATATAAAGTCTGAATTCGGGAGTCGACAAGTTTAAGAAAAGTAATAAAGGGCTTAATTCACATCCGGAAAATAACATGCTGTTCTTCACTGGAAAGGTGTGAGTAGCAATTAATCAGACAATTGCCAGACAGACTTGAATGTTATAATTGGTGTTAAGTTGTCTGTATAGTTAAAATGTCTGTCTTTAAATTTTTTTTATTGGCCCAATAAACTGATAGATCAAACGAATATATAGCGTACATGTGATTTTCAGCACCCTGGTGTTTTCGAAAATTGATTCAATGTGCAATAGAAAAAAAAATGAGTAAAACTCTTAATATTGTAATTGGTTGATGTAATAGAAATTGGACAGTATTGGTTAACTGAAAAGTAACCAATCAAATTTAATTGATCATCCACATGTATCTCATAATCGACTTATTGATATAATGGTTCTCCAAGTTATCTATACTTTATTCATTGCGACAAATTGTTTCTTTGATATTATATCAGCGACATTCAGTTAGATATCTAAATGTAGGCCTAGTGAAGTTAGCATCAACAGAGTGCTTTAGCCGTGATATTTTTAAAAATTATAATGGTCACATAGAATACCAGACCGCAGGTTTGTAAATTTTTACAAAAAATAAAACCGTGTATTTAATTTAGAATCGATATATTGCTTCTATGTATATTAATAATTCGTTTCGTTTAAAAAAGTCAGATTTAGAACTACTGCCACTGGCTGGACCGGAAGTCTGTTAATGGCGGACAAAGATTAAGAAAAATTTTTTGATGAGTTCTAAAAGTGTTCCGCTAATTCAGCAATCTAACGATTCTGTCTTAATTTTTCTGAAATCGTGCTTAATTATTATTAGCTAATCGGCGCTACACCGTTGTTCAAATACTTATAATTGCAAGAAACCCACGACTAGGACCAGCAGGTAAGAATCTGTCTTGATTTTATACCCGGTGAAATTATTATTGGCCGCCATCTTTGATTTTTATAGACGTTCGGTCAAAATGAGAAATAATGTAAATCCAGACATGGACGCTATAGCTAGATACTAACTTTTGTGTTAGTTGTTTAGTTGAAATGTAATCTTATTTCTGTAAAAGAAAAAAAAAACAACAAACAAATCAGCCTTTTTTTATCAATGTCATCAATGTGTAGGCCTAATATTAGACTTCCACTGATTCAGAAGTTTCTCTATAGTTTCGTTATTTTTTTTTTCCAGTCATTGATGTTAGCATGTACTCTACAAAGAAAAACAGGTAACAGAATCTCATTTCCCTTTAATATATTTTTTTTAATAATGCCCAATAATGTTATTGTATGTAACACGAAAAGTATTTATCTCTGTAGAGAGAGAGGGCGAGGAAATGGGGTTTAAAGTTCACTAAATTCACTTGACACAAACTATGCCATTCATTTCCTTGTATTAAATTGGTCGAATCAAGTAGGTCCATGCTATATATATGTCCTAGAATCAAGTAGGACAGATTGTCTTCTTCCGTTTCTGCCCTTTTCCTGAACTCGGTCTCATTCTATTGCAATCTGTGTATGTTGTGTTATATTAATTCTGCATAAACCTAGAGTTGTTGTTAGTGTTTGTTGGATATATCCTTTATACTTACTGGCGCTAGGTAATTTCGAGACCATTATTGTTCAATTTTATTTGAATGAAGTGTATTAGAAACAGTGTTCGCACAGGTTCGAGAACGGCGGAAGAACAGGAAAACACATTCATGAGTCTAGAACATGAGAGAACAGTATCCATGGTAACAAGATGAATTAAATTTATACAATCTGTTACTATAACTTGTTTAGTACTGACTTCACTATTAAGCATAATTTTGATAAATTATGACTCAGTTTTACTAATTTTCAATGACGATTACATCACCTTTTGATACGCCCACATGGAAATGTGGTCGCATATTGTCGTCCGTCGGTTGGTCCGTCGTCTACAGACCTGATTATTTTGAAATTGATATGTTGTGTATTTTAGTGAGATGAAGCCTATTTAATTTCAATAATTTCCGTTATTTTCTTCTGGAGTTATGGCCCTTGTTTCACTTTGTGAAATTCATTTGCATCATTTAAATTAGTGAAACGAAGACGCCTATTAAATTTCTATAATTTCTGTGAATTACTTCTAGAGTTGTGGCCCTTGTTTCACTTTTTTCTAACCTTGTGAACTCGAGGACAACAAAATTATCATCCGATCTGTATAAAATTTGTATGCATTATTTAAATTAGTAAAACACAACACAAAAAAATCTGTCAAATTTCAACAATTAAGGCCCTTGTTTCAGTTTGTAGGACCTTTGTAAAGCCACAAACAACGAAAATTATAATCTTGTATAAAATTTTCTTGTAAATGCCCCCATTACCTACAAAAGAATAAATATGCGACAATCCCTGTTGACCGCGCGGATAATTTAACTGCTGTAGGCATATGTTTCGTTGCCTGGCAACCTAACTTACTTTATGTTATACTGGCCATATACTACATCCAATTTTTGAACGGTATTAAACTTTTAAATTAATAAATGCACCCATGATGGTGTTTTCTCGGCAGTTATCGATGCGTCAACCATGTTTGTTCTTGCCTCACACCAGCTATGAGGTAGTGTGGGATTTGAGAACGGGAACGTGTTTGCAAACGCATTCCAGACTGCTCAAGTCCGACAAGAACCCATTCTCCGTCCGTTCTCTGCACCGGACCACTGTTTCGAATACACCCTAGGGGTATTTAGCAAAGGGAGGAAAACGGAGGACCCGGAGAAAACGCACAAGGCTGGACAGACGACCCTATTCCTAGTCACATTCAAGCGGGGAATCACATAATAGTATGGCCTATTTCAAATATGATATTTGCATATAAAGAATAAAGGTCTTCAGCCTCTTTCAAATATGATATATAAAGAAAGTACAGACTTAAATCGTCAGTGCTGAATAAACTAGCCAAAGGATTCGGCTTAATCAATCGGCGCTAAAATTCACCTAGTGTGTCCACTGACACATGTTTGATATATTTGGCCGAATTGTATTTGAGTGCTGTGTCCGCTTCGCTGAAGCATTCGTCTGATTTAAGAATTCATTAGCCAATCACCTTCATATCGAGTGGGTATCACAAACTAGCAGTCAAACTGTGACACGGGTGCTACAGCCAACAAATTCCAACTACCATGCTATCGGCTTAAATGCACGCCAATGGGACCGCAGGTTTTTTGTTCCATTGAAACGACTAGAAATGAAATGAAATGGGGTTTAACGTCTTACTGTTTTGTTCCGAACTGGGCTAATGAAGACGGGCATACGCAATACAGTGTGCTATGAGGGAAATTTTGCCTGGGCAGCGGCACTATCGCCTACTCTTATATCAAATTCCAACTGTCAAGGGATGTTTTACGTGCACACCAATGTGTACACGGGACCTCGGTTTTTCGTCTCATCCGAATGACTAGACAGCTGTCCTTGTCAGGGCCCTCCGTCCTGCATCACTGACAAGGGGGAACCACGCCGGAAAATCTGGGTGAACTTTCTCGGCCAATGCAGGGATCGAAACACCCGACCTCCAGGCTAACGATCCAGCGTCTTACCCACTTAGCCACCGTGACGACTAGACAGGAAATCCATGCTGAAAAATCCAAATGAGCTTTCTCGGTCAACACTGGGAGCGAACACGCAACCTCCCGGGTAGCAAGCCATTGCCTTACTCACTAAGCCACATGGCTCTCTTCAAATTACTGTGACAGTCCAGTCACATGACAAACAAGTGTTATTAAAACAGATTTTTACGGCTTGGGTAAGATCTTCAGGATTCAAATGGTTTTAGATATCACACAGTTTGTATATGGTAAGGTATATTAAACAGTTTATTACATGTCACATATTCATATTTTTCAGTTTCCATATTAAATGCCATAGCAAATCAAAGATCATATAATAAAATAAGTCCAAAAACCCAAATATGGGAAAATAAAGAGCTGAAGAAATGGTGATTTGAGCACCTATGATTTCTCAAAGGTATTTTTGGAGGGTGAGTGTTCAATTCTAATAGAAAAGATTGTTGTTATGGTATTTTAGAATCTCACTATAATGTGTTTGGCACAATATAGCCTGGTGGGAGATGAAACATAAACCTCCATTTCATTTTATTGTTTTGAAATTTAAAATTCAGTTTAGTATAGTAAAACTGTACACGTACATGTATGTGCACAGGCAGAATCTTACTTATGTCCAGATACATTGGATATGACTATCTCATCTGTGGGGAACCACGGTGGCCAAGTGGGTTAGACACTGGCTCACATATTTTAAGGTCGCGGGTTTGCTCCTGTTTTTGGCTAAGAAAATTCAGGATGGAGGGACTGACAAGGACAGCTGTCTAGTCATTTGGATTGAACAAAAAAATGACGTCCCGTGTACACATTGGCGTGCATGTAAAAGATCTCCTGTCAGAAATCGATAGGCCTTAGGATCGCGGTACCCGGCAGAAATTCCCTCATGGCACACTGTATGGCATATGCCCATCTTCATTAACCCAGTTGGAGCATAACAGTAGGACGTTACACCCCATTTCATTTCATTTTTTCATTTCATCTCATCTGTGACAAAGCAAACCAGCACATTAAAACGTCCATTTTTTAACTGTCTGGTCAATTTTAGTCAACTAATACATAGTATGTTTTTTTTCTCAGTTAACTACATCAGAAAGATCAAGACAGTTGGAAAGGGCTATTCATATTATGGAAACTTTTTCTCACAGAGCTTGATAATCAGGCAAAATGTAAGTACCAATACATATTTGTTTTTTTAATTAGTAACTAGTACTATACACATGGTAATCTAGTTATTCTTCTTGGGGCAATGCCTAGGGCTCTGCTATTTCAAGTACTTGGCATGCTTGTGTTTTGACAATCACATCCATTGATTTTCTTCAAGTTGTGATATGTCTATTTTTACAGTAAATAGTTGACCTATTATTAGACTCTAGTCCCAAATCTCATGACTTTTTTTTCTGACTTCTGACCCATTTGATTTGAGCATAATAATCTGCCTGGGTCTTTAACTGGACAAGACACAATAAGTGTTATCAAAAGTTGAAACAAAATAGAGACTCAATCTCGATGTGGCAAGGGGGGTTGGATGTCCGAATGGTTTGCATGTGGGTGCTGTATCATACAGTCTGTCACTGAGTCAACTGGCGTGGTTTCGATTCCACGGTTGTACGTGACGAGGAGTGGGGTTGCCTGGGTTTTCTCCGGGTCGTCTAGTTTCCTCCCACTGCTAAAGACCCCTATGCGCAAGCGAATTATTGAAATTTAATTGGAAAATATGTTAGTCCTGAAATGACCTAGTTTGTGTCGAGTGGACGTTAAACCCCATTTCATTCGATGTAGCAAAAAAAATTGCTTATTTAAACATTGTGAACCATAGAAAGTGTTCTTATTGTCAATTTTTTTTCTTTTTTAGGCTGGAACACCCTTGCAAGAGTATTGATGTATGATAAGAACAAGATAACCCAACCATACCTTTTGAATATTAAACCATTAATTTATTTTATAGTTCTGGAAAAGAATGCATTTGACCTATTTTTTAAATATTTTTTAATTTGTTTTTAATGTTAAATATCCTCCCCAAACACAATTAGATTTTTATTCTCTCCAGAAATTTATGTATAATATAGAAAGTAAAGTGACATAAATCACTTAGAATTTGGTCGGAAATCCTAAAGTAGAAACCAAATATATGTAGAATTACAAAAATCCCATGACCTACATTAAGGTGACTTTCTCTTGCTTATCAAATGAAATAGGGTTTAATATCCTACCTTTCTATGTTATTATGGTAATTCTGCCCTACAACCTACTCTTTTATCAAATATTTCAAAAGTTTCTTTAAAATGAACACAGGAAGCGATGGGTGGCGGAATGGTTAACACGCGCACATTGGATCAGATCTGGCATTGAGTAAAATATTTAAATTGTCAAGGTTTCTTTAAAGTGAACACATTGGGGGTGGTTTCGATTCCCCGCTTGTACATGACAAGGAGTAGGCCCAACTCTCAAACCTCGCAGGTTTTCTCCGGGTCCTTTGGTTTCCTCCCACTACTAAAGACCCCTATGCTCAAGTGAATTATTGAAATAATATTGAACCTTATGTTAGTCCCTAATTGACCCAGTTTGTGTCGAGTGGAGACTAAAACCCCATTTCTATCTTGCTTTAAAATACACACCAAGGTGTTTATGAGACCTAGGTTTATTGTCCTATGCGAACAACTATATCATCAATTGTCATGTCCTACACCACTGACATGGGGGAACTGTGCCGGTAAATCCAGATGAAATTTGTACATATTATTTAATATTTGCCATTTTCTCTGATATTTTTATTTCATTTATTTTACAATAACCTGTAATCTTGGTGCTTTCATTATTCAATGGGCGCTCCTTTTATGTACAAAAGATTCATTTTGTTTGTTTATTTAAAAGGGTTCTACATAATTTTATAACTCCTGCAATAGTGCATTTTTCTTTTGTTAGTTCTGTGTATGCTACTTATTTCTAGATGCCTCACAAATCACTTGTAAAATGACTTTGATGCACTTTTCAGTTTTTGAAAGTATTTTAATTTGATGCATAATTACACGTCATTATATAACACAATTTCATTAGTATTGGAATTAATTTTCTGTCTATATAGTTTTGATTTGACAGTATTAATTTACTTTTTCCTATCATTTTTAAATAAATAATAATTTAACAAACAAATTATTGTTCCGTCATTTATTAAACCTTACAGGTTAAACAGAGCAAAAGAAGGGATGCTGCATGGGAAAGGTTGCTATACTGGATATAAATTAGGGGAAAATACAACACAAGTTTTTGTTAATGTTTATACATAAGTTTGTATAAAACCTCACAAGTTTCATAAATTTCAACACAAGTTTCATAAATTTCAACAAAATTTCATAAATTTCAACACAAGTAATGTGTAGAATTTCACACAAGTTTCAACACAAGTTTGTGTTCTTTGATAAATTTTAACACAAGTTTTGTGTTGTGTCAACAATAGAGACACCTAACTTGTGTTGAAAACCACACAAGTTTGTGTTGTTTCAACACAAGTTTTTTTTCAGTGTGAGATTTATTAGCATGTTCCACACAACCCAACGTTTATCGGCACCAGGATTAAGGGTATATATCTTTGTTTCTAACGCTTATTGGGAATACGTCACGGAAACTACAATAAAAACTTATTTACAAAAACATTCTAAAGAGTGAAAACGGACATATTTCAAGCTTTACTGTATTTAAAGAAATAATTTAAATCAGCCGGCTGAAACCCCGTCTCCGCTATTTGATATAGCAAACAAGTGTCCAATCTATAAAAGCACACATTCCTAAAAAAATGTTTCTTTAGTGAAACAAGAATATTCATAACTATGCGAGGGTGGGGTGAGTAAATTCGTGGTAACAAGTCTGAATAGGCTAATGGGACAATAGAACAAGTTCGCCTTGATGTTGACGATATGAACATCAACTAAAAAGATATATAATGTTATTCAGCTGCAAGGTGATATATGCATATATGCAGCATATATAATTAAAATCTCTATTCAAGTTAAACCAACTGTATCTATATTTAAGTCTCACGTCGAGCTGAATACAGTTTATGACTTATTGTCATTAAAACATCTATTGGTGGTTAACAGTGTGTAACTAAAAACTAAAATTGGATTTTATTATTGTCAATGATATAATGTACCTTGAATTTTTTATCACGAAGTCTATCGCATCTAGATATTTAAAGCGCGTTTACAATATATTCATTTTTATACGCCCACATTGAAATGTGGTCGTATATTGTCGTCGCCCCCGTCCGTCCGTCCGGCGTCCACAATTGCTTGTGGACGCTCTAGAGGCTAAAGTTAATATCCGATTGACTTTAAATCTATATACAGTGTTTAAGGCCATGAAACGAAGAAGCCTATTGATTTTCAGCGATTTCCGATAATTACTGCAAGAGTTATGGCCCTTGATCACTTTAAATTTATACACAGTGTTTAAGGTCATGAGACGAAGAAGCCTATTGATATTCAGCGATTTCCGATAATTACTGCCAGAGTTATGGCCCTTGATCACTTCAAAAAATCTTGTGGACGCTCTAGAGGCGAAAGTTAATATCCGATTGACTTTAAATTTATACACAGTGTTTAAGGTCAAGAGACGAAGAACCCTGTTGGTTTTCAGCGATTTCCGATAATTACTGCCAGAGTTATGGCCCTTGATCACTTCAAAAAATCTTGTGGACGCTCTAGAGGCGAAAGTTAATATCCGATTGACTTTAAATTTATACACAGTGTTTAAGGTCATGAGACGAAGAAGCCTATTGATTTTCAGCTATTTCCGATAATTACTGCCAGAGTTATGGTCCTTGATCACTTCAAAGAATCTTGTGGACGCTCTAGAGGCCAAAGTTAATATCCGATTGACTTTAAATTTATACACAGTGTTTAAGGTCATGAGACGAAGAAGCCTATTGATTTTCAGCGATTTCCGAAAATTACTGCCAGAGTTATGGCAATTGACCACTTCAAAAAATCTTGTGGACGCTCTAGAAGCGAAAATTAATATCCGATTGACTTTAAATTTATACACAGTGTTTAAGGTCATGAGTCGAAGAAGTCTATTCATTTTCAGTGATTTTCGATAATTACTGCCAGAGTTATGGCCCTTGATCACTTCAAAAAACCTTGTGGATGCTCTAAAGGCTAAAGTTAATATCTGATTGACTTTAAATTTATACACAGTGTTTGAGGTCACGAGGCGAAGAATCCTATTGATTTTCAAAGATTTCTGATAATTACTGCCAAAGTTATGGCCCTTGATCCCTTTGAAAAATCTTGTGGACGCTCTAGAGGCCAAAGTTAATATCCGATTGACTGCAGATTGATACACAGAGTTTAAGATCTTGAGACGAACAAGTATATTGATTTTCAATGAATTTTTATGACTTGGAACAGCTAAATTCATGATACAGTATTAACATGGGCCAGAACTTTATAAAAACCAAACAAATTCTAATGGTTTTCTGATTTGTTGCTCTTAATCAGATTTTAGTGTATTATAAATGTTTCATTACCGAAAAAAGTAAAAATATGCGACAATTCTTGTTGACTGCCCGGACGATTTAGTTGCCGTGGGCGTATGTTTCGTTGCCTGGCAATCTATCTTTTGTTATTTCAGGATGGATATATCGTAAAGTTCATCTTCATTTGACGAACTACACCCAAACTACAGTGTAAACACGGTTTGGAGACTGTATCTTAACTACGGGGTACATCGAACTACCGTGTACCTCATAGTTTAGAGACACTATCTAATATCCAACAGGAAAAATGACGATTAATTTAATATCCGCCAATTTGTGTTGCTGCTATTTTGTATTTTCAAAATTTATATTCAAATTCAGAGACATCGAAAACCATATAAAAGACATAGAAAAAGTCATATCTTACGTATCTTAAGAGATGCTCTTTTATTATACCAAATTTATGGGTATTTTGTTAAATGGCCTTATATTGCCAAATTCGGCAGCCATTTTAAAAGAAATGCCCGGCACCACATGAAGAATACATTTCTTTAAACGATGTTTGTCAAATTCGATTTCCGCTCATTTCGCGTACATAACCACGATATAATGGCCGAACATTACGTACATGAGATCATGGACCTTATATCCTTTTAAAAAAACAACTTAAAACACATTTATTTAATCAGGCTTTTAACTGACTCTGTATACAATCGTTAAAATGTCCATAATCTTGTTGTTTATTTATGATTACATTGTCACTTTGTAAAGTGCCCCTGAACATGTTTTATGAAAGGGCGCGCTATAAATATGCTGAAATAATAATAATAATAATATTACCAAATTTGGCGGCCATTATGAAAGAAACACCCGGCACCATATAAAAAATACTTTTTTTAATTGATGTTTGTCAAATTCGATTCTTCGGCACATTTCGCTTGCATAACCACTCTGTGTTTGGGTAATTTTAAAAAGAAATCATGTATAATCCCACCAGTAAATAGTAAAACACACTGATTACGATATATGATTGAGTATGATTTTGTGTGATATATTTATCACTGAACGAAACTGCATTGGTTTCTTTTGCATTTTGTTTAGGGTAAAACGTTATCCCTCAACGCCTAATAGGGCAGAGCGGGGATGGTTCGGACATTTTTGGTTTTTTTCACATTTATGCAACTACTAATGCACTTGTCTCTGAACTTAAGAATGGAAAATAGACTTTACCTTATTGGCTATATTCAGTCAGTGATACAGCTGTGTAGCTATATTAGTCTTTGTGTTGGACTAATTTTTGGGGGGTTAGTAAAATGTCCGGATTTACCCCATTAGCAGGCAGACACCGGTCAGCTCTGGGGGATACTTTGGACAAGTGGAGGACGATTGGACAAAAGCAAATTGAAAAGATTCCTTTCACAGTTTAGTTCTATTTCTTCAAAAAGTTCCTTTAACAATAAAGTTAATACAGTAGTGATAAATTTAAAGCTGAATGTCCTCTAACTGAAACATATTTTTAACATAGCTGGACGAAAATAAATGAACGTATTCAAAAAGGAATTAACTGATAATTCTAACGCTTTAAATCTTCTTGCGTTTCTCTAGGTATGACATCAATCCGAAATTTACATCGAAAAAGATAATGAATGTTTATTCCCGCAAATGACGGACCAAATTTGTCGTAATAGAGAGAGAGAGAGAAATGGGGTTTAACGTCCACTTGACACAACTAGGTCATTTCGGGACTAACATGGTTTAATTTATTTCAATAATTCGCTTGCGCATAGGGGTCTTTAGCAGTGACAGGAAACCGGAGGACCCGGAGAAAACCCACGAGGTTGGACAGGCGACCCTACTCCTTGTCACGTACAACCGGGGATTCGAAACCACGCCAGTCGACTCAATGACAGACTTTATGATACAGCGCGCGCACGCTAACCATTCAGCCATCCAACCCCCCTTGTAGTAATTACTTTCCCTATATAGGGCTTGGCTTGTCAGTGGTGCAGGACCGAAGGCCTGACAAGGGACAACGTTTGCATGTTTTCATTAACCCAATTGGAGTTGAACAGTAGGACTTTAACCTCCATTACAATTTTTTTTTATACATTCCAAATACTGGATACTGGACAAAAAGAGGCAGGAACTAATTCAACTAAATGCTAACAATTTATTTTTTATTAACAAAAATAGGGATCAGAATACAAAATCAACATATTTCTAGTATCTACAGGCGCTTAAAACCTAATTTAAACAGTGATCGATCAGAAAAAAAATGTAGACTTAAAATTAAAACTATAATAATAATTAAGCTTAAATCATAAATGAATAAACAATTAGTTTAGCTATAACGAGGGTATGTTTCGTTGAACCATAGGAAATGAGTCGTGTATTCCTTAACATTCGAGAACGCTGGCAATGAAATCACAGTTTCCTGAGTAAGGGTTGAAAGCTAGGCCATCTGGACAAGAAACTGCGTCTCCAACGGGTAGACCGAGAACACATTTATAGAATTTAGTACAATCAGTTTGGTCAGCTGTGAGGAGTATGCCACTGCCACAGCCAGAGCCATGGACACATGTCCAGTACTTTTGGTTCCAGACTGTACCAGGTGCACAGTTCATTGGTCTTGCAACGCGGTTATCACATTGACAAAATCGCCTTCTATCGCCTGGGTAAGGGAAATATTTTACTGTGTTTGCTGGGCATCGATCTGTAAAAGAAAATGCATTTGATTTTAACGATCAATACCAAATGATAATACTACTCTACCCAATGGCGTCTTCCACTTGCCGTAACGAGAACGAGGTTGATGAACCATGTTAAATTTGGATGTGTACTGAAGTCTGACATCTTGAATAACTATTTTTAAATTTCGATAGTGACGTTAATTGTTGTAGGTATTTGAATCTCACAGAATTTTTTCGACTGGTTAATCGTATATAGAACTATTTTATCCGAATAGTTTCAATAAAGGCTAGCAGACCTCATCACGGCTTAAATGGCCATGGTGAGTCTAATGAAAAGTAAAAAGTAAATCCGCACAATATCAACAAGTCATAAACATGTCGTCATTAATCGGCTTTGTAACCATAATAAATCATTTAGGTCAAAATAATGTATTTAATTGGCATGATCATGTGCGCTATCTCGTGAGAATACAATTTTATTTACCAATTTGGGGAGGGTGACCGAATGGTTTAACACTTGCGCTTTAGGTCATCGGGCCTGACATTCGATTCACAGCTTGTACGCGACAAGGATTGGGATTAGGACCGCATGTCCAACCTCATGGTTTACGTCCGGTCCTCCACCGTCTCCCTATAGCTAAACCAGCGGCTGAAATCGGATGAAAAGTATAACCTCTATAGGGTCCAAAAGCTAAAACGCGATTTTCCGTAAAATCAGCGGCCATAATTCAAGAAGTTATGGTCCGATATGTGCGAATATCGAAAGGAACCGAGATAGATCTTAGGGTGATAAACTTATATTTCAAGTTTCATTGAAATCGGATAAAAATTGTGACCTGTAGAGTGTTCAAAAACAATATTGTGGGTTGACGGACGGACGGACGGACAATATACGTCCACATGAAAATGTGGGCGTATAAAAATACCAGGCGCAAGCGAAGTATTGATCTAACATTGAACCACATATGTTAGTTTCGTAATGACATAGTTTGTGTCCACTGGATGCTAACCTCCATCTTTCTGTCCCTCGCCTTACAAATTTTAGTTTCATCTTTGGCTGGCTCCATAACCTGGAGATGTCGGATTCGCTCCTGATGATGACCAAAACAGTTCCTGTGGATTTTAGTGTTTTTTAGGCGTGGCTTCCTCTTGTCAGTGGTGCTGGACGGGGGGGGGGAGGCTGCTGGCAAGGAAGGGTATCTATTCGTTCGGAAGAGGGATAAAAATCCGATGCCAGGATACACATTTTTCGTGCACATAACAGAACCCTTCACAGTTGAAATTCGAAAAAAAAAGTAGGCCGTAGCGTCGTTGTCCGGGCAACATTGGCCTCATAACACATTGTATAACGTATGCCCGTCTTCATTAGTCCAATCGGTGCAGAAACGGAGGACGTTAAACCTCATTTGTAGTCTGAATGGGTAGGGGATAATTGCAAGTAAAAATGTTATGGCTTTTATTCTTTGTGTCTGAAAAGACTAATATGCATACCTTTACAGGCCCCGGTTAAACAATCTGCTGTTCTGAATTGATAACTTGAACCCACACAACCGGCACCACCAGGTCCAGGGGCGGGGTTAGTACATGTTCTTGACCTCCATTGCTTTATTTTACCAGTACCACAACAGGCTTTACATGGACCATACGATCTCCATTCAGACCAATCGGACCAACCACCATTTACTACAAACAACAAAACAAAAAGGAAATTACTAGGCAACGAAACATATGCCCACCCTGCAGCAGCTAAATGTCCTTTGAACAAGAAACTGTTCTATCCTCTAATGTCCTTTGAACAAGAGACTGTTCTATCCTTACCTCTGATAACCTCTCTACAGTAGACTGTTCTATCCTTACCTCTGTTAACCCTGCTACAATAGACTGTTCTATCCTTACCCCTGATGACCTCAATATAATAGACTGTTCTATCCTTACCTATGAAAACCTCTCTACAGTAGACTGTTGTATCCTTACCTCTGATAACCCTGCTACAATAGACTGTTCTATCCTTACCTCTGTTAACCCTGCTACAATAGACTGTTCTATCCTTACCCCTGATGACCTCAATATAATAGACTGTTCTATCCTTACCTATGAAAACCTCTCTACAGTAGACTGTTGTATCCTTACCTCTGATAACCCTGCTACAATAGACTGTTCTATCCTTACCTCAGATAACCCTGCTACAATAGACAATTCTATCCTTACCCCTGATGACCTCACTAAACAGACTGTTCTATCCTTACCTCTGATAACCTCTATACAATAGACGGTTCTATCCTTATTTCTGATGACCTCACTACAACAGACTGTTCTATTCTTACCTCTGATAACTTTTCTACAATAGACTGTTCTATCCTTACCTCTGATATTTTCTCTACAATAGATGGTTATATTCTTATTTCTGATGACCTCACTACAATAGACTGTTCTATTCTTACCTCTGATAACCTTTCTACAATAGACTGTTTTATCCTTACCTACAATTACTCTTCTACAATAGACTATCAGATCCTCTCCTCGATATCCGCTTGTCCAAATCCATTCCGCTTTGCCATTCAGAGAAGATGGATTTGAGCCCCAGTTATAACTTGCAAGTATAGCGTTTTCCCATGCACCGTCATCAAATCTGCAAGGCAGAGAGAGAAATGGGGTTTTCTGCACCAATCCTGCTGACGAAAACAGGAAGCTTGAATGAAATGAGATGCTGAGTCTTTTCGGGACTAACATACGTTTCGATTTTACTTCAATAATCTGCTAGCGCGCAAGTGTCTTTAGCATTGGGAGGAAACCGTAGGACTCAGAGAAAACCCACGAGGTTGGACAATAATCCCTACTTCTTGTCACGTACATTCCGGAAATCGAAACCACGCCAGGGACGAATTAAGCCTAAATGGTGCCCCCGGCTGAAGATATTATGGGTCGGTTGCATCAACAATGAAAAGGTCATTGCCCATCACATTCACACCAATGCAATTTGTATACCCTGTTTACCTTAACAACTAATTAGGGGCCTCCTTTAATACTGTGGCCCCTGACTGCAGTCCAGCCAGCCCTCTCTTAACGGACGCGTCCAGGGTATTTTACATATTTATATATGTACGTATTCGGGGTCTTGTTTTTTTTTATAGGAAGTCATTTGAACTCACCCAGGTAGATTCCATCCTTTTTCATACTTAGCTGAACATTTCCACGTAGCGTCAGTTTTGATACCGTTACTTAATGCCAGCTTGATTCCACCTACCACACCTTGGTCTACACATTTTACAGCAACAACTTGGGTATCACCAGGGATACTGACTGGTGAAGATCGAGGCCAGTTGTTATCATTAGCATTACTGTACAGAACACCATCAGCATAGAAAGACATCTGATTGTCACATGTAGCATCACCAGTGATGTATGTCTGCCCTAAGAAAGAAATTGGCATCCGACTCAGCATCTCATTTCATTCAAGCTTCCTGTCAGCAGGATTGGTGCAGAAAAATTAAATGCAATTCGGGCACTTTTCTCTGTTTAAAATAGAGTCGGAGTTTTAAAGCATGGGGGGGGGGGGGCTCGATGAATTTGGAGGTGGGTCGAAAATGAAGTGCCCGAGGAATGCCCGTTTAGAGTCTGCGATAGGCACGACCTATTCGGGACTGTGAGAACATCAACTAAAAAGTGGTCCCACGATAATCTTATTTATGTGGGTCAATTGGGAGTCAATCAACTAGGGGTCAACTTCGAAAAAATTCGTCTGGCTACTAACCCAAGAAGAATTGCCCATGCGGTAAGTGGTGCTTAAAGGAGACTACTGCTTATGATGAGGGCTAAAAAGTTATGTGACATAAACGTCATATAATGAATATCTTAAATATGCAAAGAGTACATACCGCTGGAACTGGCCACTCTGTAAGTAAAAAAAATAAAAAATAAAATAAATAGAACTCCAGTACAAGAATATACTATTCAAAAAAAGTAGGGGATATTTGATTTTTAAGTGTTATTAAAGTCACCTAATGAAACTGACGAAGAAACAAATGACAAAATGAAATGAAGTTCACATTCATCGATTTATTCCAAATGATCGTTAGACTAAGTAAGGCACAGACTGACCATTATAAGGGTAAAATGATACCCGGGGTCAAACAGCAAAGTTACCACAGCATCACAACCAAGTCAGTAACGGGTAAATCCTCCTCTGTTTGCCAAACAAGCATTGATCCGACGTGGCATACTCCTAATGAGACGTCTAAGGTCATTTTGGTCCAGATTGTCCCATTCCTGTTGCAACGCAGCAGCAAGTTCTTGGACATTGGCAGGACGTTGTTGACGTTGACGTAACCTCTGTCCAAGCATGTCCGAGACATGCTCGATGGGGGAGAGGTCGGGACTCAGTGCTGGCCAAGGTAATGTGGTGATGTTCTGTTGTTGGAGGTAACCTGTAACGATCCTGGCCCTGTGACATCTTGCGTTGTCATCCTGGAAGATGAAACGGCGGCCATGACGTCGTGCGAACGGCACAACATGGACTGCCAAGATGTTGTCCCGGTAGTACTGGCCTGTAACACGCCCTGCAACAACATGTAAAGCCGTTCTTCCAGCAACAGTGATGCCTCCCCACACCATAACAGAACCACCCCCAAATCGATCATGTCTGATGACGTTAACGTCTTGGAAGCGCTCGTTTCGACGACGCCACACCCTCCTACGTCTGTCCAAAAAATCAACAGTGAACCTTGACTCATCTGAAAACATCACATTGCTCCAGCGTCGATTATCCCAGTGTTGACGATCCCTACACCAACGACGTCTTGCCTGAATGTGATGATCTCTCAAACAAGGGATCACGCGAGGACGTCGGGCGCGAAGGTGACCCCTATGCAGTCGATTCCGAATCGTCTGGCCACTCACTCTCACACCAGTGTCTGTTTGAAGACAAGCGCTGATCTGATTTGCTGTGATGACACGATTTCTCAAGGCCAAGGTACGGATAAATCGATCATGGGCTTGAGTTGTCGCCCTTGGTCGACCTGAGCGTGGTCTGTCCTGTACAGATTGTGTATCACGGTATCTGGACCATAGCCTGCTTATGACAGACTGAGAAACATTCATCGTCCGCGCCACAACCGCCTGTGTTGTGCCGATCTGTAGCATGCCAAGGGCACGTAACCTTTCATTTTGGGTAAGCCGACGCATATCAAAATTTGTTTTCTGGTCACTAAAACAATTAAACTGATGTTTCCACCCTGGAATTCAATGCCACAATGACTGTAACATTCAAAGTCAGAGTCGTGCAAATCTTGGGTTGGACCCCCATGATGATCCCAAGCATCACCTGCATTCCATGCGGTAGCTATTGGTGCGTTTGGGCGTCACATGTAACTAGAAATGTTTCTTCTGTTAGGTTCTATAGTGACTTTTTTCGTAGTCATTTGCATATTTTAGTATTATGCCCCCAAAATCAAATATCCCCTACTTTTTTTGAATAGTATATTTCACAGCTTAGGTTCGAAATGGTGGGATACTAACGTTTTGATAGCTTGACCAGAGATAATAACTGATAGATAGCTTGACCGCCGTGAATATTTCTAACCCAATAGAAGTTGATAATTTTATATTCTATTCAATAAGGCTATCCATCTTTGGGGCATATACACTCAAGCAATTGACCCGGGCCATCAACAAACATCTGCATGCCACTGAATTGAACCTTTTGGACCAGGACATGGTGCTACTCATCTTGCTGTTTTTGTTTTGTTCTTGGGGTAGCACTCTTCGAAAAAGGGGGATCACGTTTAGCCGTCTTCATTAGCCCAGTTTAGGAGCAGAACAGTAGGACATAAAACCACATTTCATTTAATTTCATTTCTTCTAAATTCAGGTCCGATCGACATGAAAATTCGCATACTTCTTCTTTGTGGAGACAACAGTTGGTAAAGGAAACTTGGTAAAGCCATTGGCTGGCTAACCTGGAGGTACCGTGTACCGACCCTGCTATTGAATGAGAAAGTTCATCGATACCTTCCCTTGTCAGTGGTGCAAACACGGAGGGTCTGGCAAGGAACAACGTTATCTACAGATAGGCAGGCATATAAAAGAATCCTTGGAATGTCGAAATAAGAGTCCATCTTCTTAATACTGGATGGAGCAAAAAAGTTGGACGTTGAACCCAATTTCATTTCTTTTCATTAAACAAAAAATAAGGAATTTAACTTACAAAAAAAACGTCTGATTTTAATCGTTGGCTCAATATTAAACAGTGCCATATTAACAGTGTTATATATATTTTTAAAAAATAGCTTACGTGACAACCAGGAGGCTGAGAACCAAAACCAAGTCCATAGTCAACTTCATTGTTTGACTTCGGGTGAATCCGTCCACTACTCAAAATGAAATGATTGAAGTTCTTTAACAGTGCATACTTTTATAATAAATTGTAGTGTATCTTTGACCATGCAAACAATGTATATAAATTATAAATCTTCAATCATGCCGTATCATTGAAGTTTTTATAGTATACATGGGGATAAATCATTCCTTTTATTTACTTGGAAATGTGTTGGGCTTTTGTAGTGTAGCCTACGCGGTTGTAATCAGGTAGAAACGTACCCACAAAGTGCATAATATAGTCTCTAAACCAGGGCCTTTCCAGGCAAACTAAGGGTAGAGATGGCTTGAGAGTCGATGACCTTAAATTGGCAGATTTATAGAGAGAGAGGGAGAGTCATTTCGGGACAAACACATGGTTCAATTTTATTTCATTAATACGCTTGCGCTTAGTGGTCTTTAACAGTGGGTAGAAACCGGGGGAACGGGAGAAAAACCAACAGGCGTAGGACAGGTGACCATTCTCCTTGTCACGTACAAGCGGGGGATCGAAACCACGCCAGTTAACTCAATGACAAGTCTTACCTGATGATGCAACGCGCGCACGTTAATCATTGGCCCCCTTCCTGTCCCCTATGGTCGTAGGAAGGGTGTGTCTTAGTACATTGAAGTTTAAAAACAAAAATATTCGTTAATTCATATATATTCCTGCTCAGCACAGTTTTGTAGGTAAGCTGGTGACCAGGCTTGGTGGGTGTAACGGGTGTGGGGGATACATTAGCCAATGTCGACAGAAAACAGAAAAGCTGCCTGATTTATACAGTAAAAGGGTGAACATATTAATTGAAAAGTCGTGAAATGAGATCCAATGGGGTTTAACAACATACTGTTCTGCCCCGACTGGGCAAATGAAAATCGTCATACAATGTACTATAAGAGAAATTTTTCCCGGCGGACGGCGGCACTAAAGTCTGCTCTTATTTCGAATTCAAACTGACACGGTACCTTAGCTTTCCGTCCCATCCGAACGAATATAAGGGGAAAACCACTCCGAATCGAACACGGGACCTCTACGCGAGTCAACGTCCTACTCACTGAGCCACCGCGGCTCCGATGACGCTTGCCATATTACTTTATGTATATTGATTCCTTTGTGGTTAAACTTGCGATATATATCCGATATAATATTGCAACATTGAGAGTATACATTTTTCTCTGTGTAATTTAAACTTTTATATAATTTATGACATGATCTATTTATATTTGAATAAATAATTTTTTACAGGAGATGAATTTATATAAGCTCCGTATAGTTTTTAAATCCCATATATTATGTAAATATTTATTGAATAAATAGTGTTAGGAAAGCAAACGTGTAAAAGTCGCGCAACCAAATAAAATTTCTCGATATATTTTCTCCAAAAACAAGCAACCCGACAATCGGCAGTCGTTTCAGTCACTGAGTAAGACGTTGACTCGTTTACTTGGAGGTCACGTGTTCGATCTCGTTGTTAACCGCGAAAGTTCATCGGGATTTTTCGGCATGGTTCTCCTTTGTCAGTGATGTAGGATGGGTCAAAAAACCAAGTTCCCGTGTAGTTATACAACCCGCGTTCTGGTGGATTGGGTGGGGGATTAGCCAATGAAACGCTCTGTTGCAGCGAGTTCTTGGCGTGCGATGCACGGAACTGTGATTGGTTAACCAGTTGTCTGACGTCATAGAGTCCAAAGCCGATCTCCCACAACAACTGGTCAGATCTTCATGTATTCTCATCAGGATGCGCCATATTTGAATTAATTGATAAGTGAAATCCTATTTAAATCCGAGCTGTAGCCGAGCCATCCGTGGGTCTACAGAGTTGATTTTGGGCTTGTTGTTTAAATAAAGATCTAATTTATAATTTCTATAACATGTGAAGCCTAAATTAAGACTTGCAATAATCAGATTTAGCTCTTGCATAATGCATGTTTAATCAGCTTGGTAGATATATAGATTTACTTGGTAGAAACGTATACAACATAATAAAAAAAAATTGAGGGCCAGACCCCCGTCACCCTCTTAATCCGGCTATGACAGTGAATTATTGAGTGAGTTAAATACGACCCGGAATTTAAGCACTTCAGACAGCAGGATGCACTAGTGTTTACGTAAACTAAACTTATTGAGTATGTTTATAATTGTATTCTTATGTGATTATACTAAATACTTTTTTTTTTGGACCAGGATGTAGCCCGCAAGGGGTGCTCATCTTGACCTTGGTTTTCTTCTTGTGGAGATCGCCACATTACTTTTCAATGTATCTATTGGCGGTACAATACGCGTACTACTTTCTCTAAAACACACATTGGTAAAATTAAGACATGAGGAGTGCCAAAGGTGATGTGTCTCTTATGAGCATTAATTTTATTATGTAGATATTGTTCTTTTCATAGCACACCGAAACATGTCCTCGGGAGAGGAAGGGTGGGGGGGGGGAATTTACCTTTAGAGCCGTTTTCTAATATTAAAAAGGAATAAAGAGTTTGAATTACTAGTCAATTGTAATCGCGTTTTGAATTATTCATTTAATGATTTTCAAAAGATTATTATCCTGTATTTATTCTCGACATTATATCTTTAGACAATACATATACATTCTTATTGCGGTTAAACTGTCAGGAATCTGTGGATTTATGAACGTGTTTGTTTGATTTATATTGCTACTTAAACTGAAATGAAACGAAAAGAAATGGGGTTTAACGTCCTACAACCGGAGATTCGAAACCACTCCAGTTAACTCAATGACGGGCCTTATGATACAGCGCGCACGTGTTAACCATTTGGCCATCCATCAGAATATAGTCTGACAACTCTCTCCGGAATGACGTCAAAATGGGTATGTCCAAACAGAAAGTCACATGACGGGGCACGAACACGGACGTTATTGCTGTATAGGCAATTGCAGCCACTTTTAAGACATCCTAGTGAGTAACCATGTGGGAGGGGATTTTGGTTTTCTCTATCCGTTTTAGAAACGGCCGATTTGACGGATGAAGACACTGGGTAAAACAATACGGAAGTCCAGATAATGACCTTTCGATACAAAGATAGTCAAATTTTAGAGCCCCAGCATTTTTGTCTCACATATTTAAGCAAATAAAAATGGCCAGAAGTCTTTTGCTAGTGACTATAATTGGGTTGCTAAAAAGGATGTGAATCTCCTATTCTGCCATCTTGGGGATTATAAACGACATTTACACAGATATGAAGTGCTGTGTTCGGGATAACAATCAACTGTCAAATGATTTCACATTGGACAGAGGTGTAAGACAAAGCGGTGCTCACTCATCAAGGCTGTATTTCATTTTCATCAACGATCTTCTGGATGATGTCGTCGTTGTCAGCCCATCACTCAATAGCTTACAGAGATTATTACAAATATGCCAGATGTAGAAGATGGAGATATTGTTTTTCACCAACCAAAAGCTTGATCCATAATTTTTCCATATAAAAAGCAAACTATTGGAAAGGAACAAATCTTCCGCTGTAACCAAGAACTCCCCATTAAACATGCTGACTCTTTCAGTGCTTGTCGCGCTATTCATTGTGGTATCACTATCCTGTCTAAGTCTGGTGTTCACCCTTTCTCAAATTTAGTTTTGTGTATGTTTATTCTCTGCATTGTATATGTGTTATGTGCTTGTAAAGTTTGTACTCTTCATAATTGGAGGAAATAAAGAAAATATAGACCTACGTAATAGCTATCATTCTAAGTATGGGTATTGGCTGAGAGAGTTCCTCTGGATGATCACCCAGTGATTTTAGTCCGAGCATGTCGCTCGTGACTATGATTGGGTAGCTAAACGAGATATGTGAATCTCTTCTATTCTAAGCAAGGTTAATACCCGTGTAATGGGCCATACATTTTTATTAGATAGACCTACGTGATAGCTATAATTCTAGGTAGATGTCGAGTGGCACTCGGTAAAAACATATATTACACGATGTTGATCTGGTCAACTTTTATTATATAGACCTACGCTAGGACTTAATGTAAATGTTATGTCGAGTGGCGCGTGTTGATCATATAACACGATGTTTATTGAGTGGGGGAGCCGCGGTGGCCCCGCGAGTAAGACGTTGGCTCACTAACCTTGAGGTTCCGTGTTCACCGCGATTTAAAGACGTGGTTCCCCCTTTCCGGTGGTGCAGGACTGAGGGTCTGGTAAGGGACAATGTATAGTCGTTCGACTGGGACGACAAACTGAGGTTTCGCGTACACACTGAGTGTACGTGAAAGAACCCTTGGCAGTTGGAATTCGACATAAGAGTAGGCCATAGCGCCGTTGCCCGGACAACATCTCCCTCATATTACACATGGTGCATGCCCGTCTTCAGTAGCCCAGTTAGCAGAGCAGTGTAGAACTTAAACGCCCATTTCATCGCATTTTATAGTGAGTGTGTTCAATCCATGGCCGACAAGTAATGTTAACAATTTAAAACGCTGTTACCTTTAGAGAGCCCCAGAGTGTTGCGCAAACACTAGTCAACCCACACTCAATATCTACTTATCAGATTATTGGGTCGTATTTAACCAACTACTCTTGGTAGGATTTCACTTGAGTGAGCTTACAAATATCACGATCAACATTTATTTTATTGTTATTAATTTCAGATATAGATATAAGGTTAAGAGCCAATGAAATTGAATAACATGTTCAGGATCTATGACATAGTTGTCATTTTAGGTTTATGACGCAACTTAACTCTCTTATAGAGAACTTGTACTTTTTTGTGAAGTCATGCGATATTTGCCGCGGTTTTTGGGTAGCACACTATGTTCGAGAACCAATATAGGGGTTAGAACAGGTTACAATTGTACTGAGAATGGCTTGTTAATGTATAAATAATTTTGTACATGGTTTTATTTCAATAAACCTTTGACTGCTATACCGACGACATAAATATACTAATCTACCAGCACCTGCTCTAGCTAAGTTGCAGCATTGGACAAGAATAGCGAATTCGAAAATCGTATGTTTCTAAACTCTAAAAACCTAAGACTTCAATTTCCTAAGAACATACAATATCAAATATTGCGTAATGATAAACAGTACAATTATACTTATGTACACTGAAAAAAAACTTGTGTTGAAACAACACAAACTTGTGTTAACATTTCTAAAACTTGTGTTGAAATTTCTGAAACTTGTGTTGTTTCATACAAACTTGTGTTGTATTTTACCAATTTATATCCAGTATAGCAATCTTTCTGATGCCGCCCCTCCATTTGTTCTGTTTAAACTGTAATGTTTGATAAATGACACAAACAATAATTTTGTTTTTTGAATTATTATTTATTCAATATATGTTATGAAAAATTAAATTAATGCCAAATCAATATTAAACAGACATTTCGAAGGTTAGTAAACAAAGTTAATTCCAATACTAATAAAGTTGTGTAATACAATGAAAAAAATACCCCCGACCTACTCCCAATCATACAAAAAAAATGGCTATTTAAATTGAAAAAAAAATCACTGAGACATTTGGAATATTAATAAACAAAGTTAATTCCAATACTAATAAAATTGTGTTAAATAATAACAAAATAAATCACCCCACCCTCACTCCCCAATCACAAAATAAAAAAAGCTATTTATATATTTTTTTTTTAAATTAACCTTAAAAAGAACTGAAAATGTAATAGATATATACACAATATCCGTACCCCATGCCCCAAAACATATATTTTATGTATATCTAAATTTAATAACAACCAAACCACGCACTAAAGACATTAATTGTGCACTAAATTCAAATATTTTTAAGATGAGAGTAGCAACAGAAATATTCCCTTTTAAAGATTATGAATTTAAAAACATCTAAAGACATAAAAGTGGACTAATAGATAAGGTACAGGACATTTAATTACAGATAGATAAAATAAATAAATAAAGCATAAAAAAATTTAAAAAATGGAGAATATTAAAAAATAATGTTTTTTTTTATAAATAAGACCATCTCATATTAAAGAGGGATTAACATTTGAAATGTTCACCAATTGTTTAAAAGTAAAGGTTGATTTCACCATACAGCAATACATTCGGACATCTTACAAGCACAAATACTTCACTTGAGGTCAGCGCTTGAATTTTTTATAATTATCGACTGTTATTATAAATTATTGATAATTCCTCTTTAATATTTCAAGTTTTCAGATCAAATTCTTAGTGCTTAGGATTACACTGCAGTCTATGTAATGAAACAATATTTAGAGAGGTTGTGGTATTTGACATTAAAAACCAAAAAAAAACGATTAAAAAAGGCAATGGTGTCAAATAACTTTTGGGTTTCCACAATAAGATCTATAAAAAACATTTGATGGCTTTTGGTTTTTTCTATTTATAAATACCAGTCATGGGTATACCCGCTTCTCTGTGATCAAAATAACATAATAGCAAGTGTATAATGTGTTTTGTACAGTCTTTACCCAGTAAGATATCTGAGAACCATATTAAATCTATGAAGTTTAAGTCCTACCTGTAGTTCTTCTATAATATATTTTATTATTATTTCTGCTCAAGGCAATTACCAGTGTTCCATGTTCTTGGCCTGAAGAAATAAAGTCAAATTTTATTATTATGCAATTGGATAAATGCAATTCTCGGTGGTATGATTTGAATAAATACAACGTATTATCATGAAGTTTGAATTATTATTTCCCTAAGAGAACTAGGCATTTGCAAATTGAAATATCTACTCTTCATAAAGCAAATACATGAATATTTTCCCAATTCACCTGGATTTTATTGTAGGTCTATGTATGAATTCAGATTTCCTTTTAAAGCAATTAGACTGCACTATCGCTGGATTATGCTAAAATCTACTGCAATCTGAAAATAGAACACAATCAGTTGCTATCAACTATCTACATGTATGTAGGTCATGTCTATTTTCCGAAATGGCGCCTAGAAAGCAACAGAATACAAAACAAACATTGCAATTCAGGTCTGACTGGAGTCGTGAGTACATCTTAAGGATGATTATTTGAATAATTAATCACACAGAAACGCAATTATGCACGAGGATATAATACAATATTGAATTAGCCTACCTCAAATACCTAGAAATATACTGTTTGGTCAGTTTGTCCGCCCGCCATATTACTATTAGCCACACGTCCTTCGGCAAATTAAAATTGACGTATATTTTGTTTTAACCGAAACGAAAAATTTGCGTTAAATACATTGTGTTTAAAAATAAAAAAATCGCAAACCTGATATTCTTGTTTTCTGAACATACTTTCTTCACAACAATATCACTTTTTGAGTTGGTTCTAACAATGCCTCCAGACTATGTAATTAATCGATACTCACCCAGGAGAATATTACCACACTGCTTACTACTACTACCTGGTGCTTTAACGTCTGCTTCCACCAAAGTGATATCGCAGACAAGACGTAGGAGAGCCGCAGTTTCCTCGTGTTTGTTTAGAATATGATTTTGCAATCTTTCCCATTGATTGACCCATTGGCGGTGGGCAGAGGTTTGGCGAAGTCTGGCCCCATCATCCCATGTCAATGACGGTAGGCCCCCCAAAACTCAAGTATAAAGCCCTGTATGGAGAAATGTGAGAACGGAAGACATTTTGAACATGTAAAAACAGACCCAATAAACCTCTTACTCAATTTAAGTAGACCAAAGTTAACAGCGATAATTTCAAATTTTGAAAAACATAATTTTAATCTCACTTATTGATTGGCTGGCCCTGAAATGGATACCCGACACTCTCGCCCCATCCCCATCCCCATCACCCGTTCCCCTCCTATACCCCCTCACTAGATAGTAGATTCTATTGGTTTTTTTTCTGATGTCCTGCATGCGCATATAATACAAAAACACATTCCAAGTATAATAAATAACAGTTACAACCAACACTTGAACGAATATAACAATTTTCAAGTATAAAATAAAAACTTCAAAAACATATCATTAGAAAAGAATTATGAATTATTTACATAGACTTCACATAGAATATAAAAGTATGCACAGTTAAAGAACTTCAATCAATTTATTTTGAGTAGTGGACGGATTCACCCGGAATCAAACAATGAAGTTGACTATGGACTTGGTTTTGGTTCTCAGCCTCCTGGTTGTCACGTAAGTTATTTTTTTAAATATATCTAACATTGTAAAGATGGTACTGTTCACTTTTGAACCGACGATTTTTACTAATGAAAATTTATGGTACTGTTCTCTTTTGAACCGACAATTTTTACTAATGAAGATTTATGCGATTAACTATACTGATCATCATTATTTTGAAGTAATATTCAGTATTTATAAAAACAATATGATTATAATTAGACGTTTTATTGGGGTTGGGGGTAGGGGTGTGGATGACCGAATGGTTAGCACGTGCGCGCTGTATCATAAGACCGGTCATTGAGTCAACTAGCGTGGTTTCGAATCCACGGTTGTACGTGACAAGGAGTAGGGTCGCCTGTCCATATAACCTCGTGGGTTTTCTCCGGGTCCTCCGGTTTCCTCCCACTGCTAAAGATCCCTACGCGCAAGCGATTTATTGAAATAAAATTAAGCCATATGTTAGTTCCAAAATGACCTAGTTTGTGTCGAGTGGACGTTACACCCCATTTATCTCTCTCTCTCTCTCTCTCTCTCTCTCTCTCTCTTTATTGGGGTAGAAAATTAGCCATCATTCAAGATGGGGTGATCTGTCAGCAATTAAGAAAAGCGCGTGACATTTCTTCGCTAAAAATATTTCAACTCATTTCTGTATCATCCATTAAAACTCTTCATCGTTTCAGTTTATTTAATTTGAGAAAGACATACGGCGCCGTGCGATATTTATTTTATTTATTTTTTACTTACAGTGTGGCCAGTTCCAGTGGTAAGTACGATATTTGATATTGGAAATATTCTTATCAGTTCTCCATTAGCCATAGACCGTTTGCATTGGATGGCTGCACAACGTTTTAGCCATATTACCGTTTACCCTCATACCTAACCAGTAAGCGCTTACTATGAATAGTTGTCGCCCTTAGTTGGTCTCTGGTCTCTGGGGTGTGAGAGTGACTAATGTTGAAACACCGATTTTGTTAGAGAGAGAGAAAAATGGGGTTTAATGTCCACTCGACACAAACTACGTCATTTCGGGACTAACATGTTCAATTTTATTTCAATAATTCGCTTGCGCGTAGGGGTCTTTAGCAGTGGGAGGAAATCGGAGGTCCCGGAGAAAACCCCACGAGGTTGGACAGGCGAACGTACTCCTCGTCACGTGCAACGGGGGAATCGAAACCACGCCAGTTAACTCAATAACAGACCCTCTGATCCAACGCGCACGCGCTAACTATTTGACCACCCAACCTCATTCTTTTTAGGGCAGACATACATCACTGGTGATGCTACATGTGACAATCAGATGTCTTTCTATGCTGATGGTGTTCTGTACAGTAATGCTAACGATAAAGATTGGCAAAAATCTTCACCAGTCAGTATCCCTGGTGATACCCAAGTTGTTGCTGTAAAATGTGTAGATCTGCATGTGGTTGGTGGAATCAAGCTGGCATTAAGTAACGGTATTAAAACTGACGCAACGTGGAAATGTTCAGCTACATATGAAGAAGGGTGGAATCTACCTGGGTGAGTTCAAATACATATATTAAAAGACTGGAAGTGTCTGCAATTTTTTTAATTTGATATTTAGCTTCTTGGAGAGAGAGAGAGGAAGAGAGAGAGAGAGAGGGATGGGGTTGAACGTCTACTCGACTCAGATTGGGCTGTTTCGGGACTAAAACATGCTTCTTGAGGAATCCAGAGAAGCTGGCGAAAACCCATACAGTTGGACCCTACTCCTTGTCACGTATAAGCGGGATATAGAAACCACGCCACATAACTCAATGACAGACCTTATGATGCAACGTGCACGCGTTAACCATTCGCCCCCGCCCGCCCCCCTCCCCGGTGTCTTGTCGAACCTCAACTAGAATGTCAGTTTTCAAGCCCGGTTCGGCCTGGAAGAAACTTCAGGAGTTTTCAAGCCCGGTTCGAATCCCGGCGCGGATCTGGAAGAACCTTCAGGCGTTTTCAAGACCCGTCTCACTTGTGGGACTGACAAAGAAAACCGATTTCTACCCATGTTCATATTGACGGGTACTAAAAAAAGGAATAAGTACAGAGGCTGTTGTCCGGGCACAATTATTCCCCTCACATTGTATAGGTCTGGTAGTATCTTTTGGATTTTTCAAGTCTGGGTCTCACTTGCGGGACTGGCAAAGAAAGTGTGCCTAATATCTACCCGTGTACATATCGGCGGGTACGTCAATGAATCAATGGATTTCGAAAATGCTAGCAGAAGTGCCACTGTCCGGACAAAATTCATCCCCTTGGATTACACACGTAACCATAGAAATAAAAATTACCATATGTTTTCTCAAAATAAATTAAATAGTGTATTAACGGGATATTTCACTTATGATGCCTTCACTATCCCGGAAGGTGCAGAAAAGTAGGACGTTAAACACCATTTAATCAATTACGTTGTCTCCTGATCAATTCCTGATGTTGGCCGAGAAAGTTCATCGGAATTTTCCGGCGTGGTTCCCCTTGGTGGTCACAGTGGTGCAGGACGGAGAGCAACACAACACGCTAGGATGAGACGAAAAACCAAGACCCTGTGTACATACTGACATAAAGATTTCTTGGCAATTGGAATTTGATATAAGTGTAGGTCGTAGCGCCGCTGCCCGGGCAAAATTTCTCTCATGGCGTATGCCCGTATCTATTAGCCCATTCGTGTTTAATGATTATCTAGTTCCGGTATATTGTATATTGCAATAATTGTATTCCATAAAGTTGTGACCTGTACATTCTGGTAAAGTAGTGTTCGTGGCGCTAATTATGATTAACGATCCACAACGTATCCCTTTCTTGTAGATTTGATGACGGTGCCTGGGACAATGCTATACTTGCAAGTTATAACTGGGGCTCAAATCCCCCTTCTCTGAATGGCAAAGCGGAATGGATTTGGACAAGCGGATATCGAGGAGAGGATCTGATAGTCTATTGTAGAAGAGTAATTGTAGGTAAGGATAAAACAGTCTATTGTAGAAAGGTTATCAGAGGTAAGGATAAAAAAGTCTATTGTAGAAGAGTTATCGTAGGTAAGGATAGAATAGTCTATTGTAGAGAGGTTATGGGAGGTAAGGATAGAACAGCCTATTGTAGAATGGTTATCAGAGGTAAGGATATAACGGTCTCTTGTTCAACAGTATATTGTAGAGAGGATAGTCTATTGTAGCAGGGTTATCAGAGGCAAGGATACAGCCGTCTATTGTAGCAGGGTTATCAGAGGCAAGGATACAGCCGTCTATTGTAGCAGGGTTATCAGAGGCACGGATACAGCAGTCTATTGTAGCAGGGTTATCAGCGGTAAGGATAGAACAGTCTATTGTAGAGAGGTAAGGATAGAATAGTCTATTGTAGAAAGGTCATCAAAGGTAAGGATAGAATAGTCTACTGTAGAGATGTCATCAGAGGTAAGGATAGAACAGTCTATTGTAGAAAGGTACAGATTGGACAGTTTATTGTAAAGAGGTAAGGTTAGATTAGTGTATTGTAGAATGGTAAGGATAGATTAGTGTATTGTAGAGAGGTACAGATGGAACAGTCTATTGTACAAAAGTACAGATGGGACAGTCTATTGTAGAAAGGTAAGGATAGATTATTGTATTGTAGAGAGGTACAGCTGGAACAGTCTATTGTACAGAAGTACAGATGGAACAGTCTATTGTAGAGGGGTAAGGATAGATTCGTGTACTGTAGAAAGGTCAGGATAGATTATTGTATTGCAGAAAGGCAAAAATGTGGCACTACTGTGTGTTAAACTGTCTACAAAACTGCACCAAAAAGAATAGATACAAATGTTATTCGTAAACGTCACCAATTCTTTGCTTCACGTTGTGTTTTAAGATGGACTTCGAATAGACTTACTTGCCCACAGACTAAATATGACTTCCAACATATCTCTATAATAACCTAGAAACACACTGTCAGACGATGTAGCTGCTGCTGGTTGAGCGTATATTTCGTTGCCCGGTAACTCCTTTTTTGTTTGTAGTAAATGGTGGTTGGTCCGATTGGTCTGAATGGAGATCGTATGGTCCATGTAAAGCCTGTTGTGGTACTGGTAAAATACAGCAATGGAGGTCAAGAACATGTACTAACCCCGCCCCTGGACCTGGTGGTGCCGGTTGTGTGGGTTCCAGTTATCAATTCAGAACAGCAAATTGTTTCACCGAGGCCTGTAAAGGTAGGCATTTTAGTCTTTTCAGACCCAAGATTAAAAACACTTAACCCTTATCCATTGTGACTACGAATTAATGGAATGCCAAGGGATCTTTAACGTGCAAGACAATGTAAACACGGGACTTCGCTTTTTCACACCATTAGAAAATTAGTTAACATATAAAATGCAGTAGCGACAGATTGCAAGAAATCCCAATAATATAATATTTTTTGATTAACAGAATTGCTACTTTAAATTAACACCCCGCTAGATATATACTTAAAATCTTTTTCTAGCTACCTCGAAAGAAACGGATTTTCCCCGATTACTTTATTTTACGTTCACAATTTACGCGAATGTTAGTAGTGTACAATCAGGGAATCGATTGACAGTCCTTATTATCAAAATCGCAAGCGTTAAATCATTAGGCCAATGATTCCAAAATTGGTAAACAAATAAATTATGTTTTCGCAACATAGTGCACATGATCATCCTAATTCAATAATTCAATTGAAACCGATTAATATTTCTAATACTTTGCGGGCATACTTAATACTTCCCATTAGACTCACCGTAGAGATTTTAAGTCGTGATGAGGCCTGCTACTTACAAGCAACCTATATTGGAACTACTCGTATTAAATAGTTCTTAATACTAGATTAACCAATCGGAAAAGCCTGCTACAATCGACGTCACTATCTGAATCTAAAAATAGTTTTATAGTACACATACAAGTTTAACGAGGTTCGTCGACCTCGTTCCAGGAAGTAGAAGACGCGATTAGCTAAAGTAGTTTTATCATTTGGTATTTATCGTTAAATTCAAATATTTTTTTACAGATCGATGCCCAGCAAACACAGTAAAATATTTCCCTTACCCAGGTGATAGAAGGCGATTTTGTCAATGTGATAACCAGGTCGCAAGACCAATGAACTGTGCACCTGGTACAGTCTGGAACCAAAACTACTGGACCTGTGTCCACGACAACTAAAACCAATGATTTAATGAAAAGAATTATTCAATTACGATTGTTAATTGTTTATGTTAAACCTTTTTCTTTGGTGGGTTGGGTGGGGGCATGGCGTTTGTTTTATTTGGGTTTTAAGCGCCTTGCGATACCAAAAATAGTTTGAGTTTGTATTCTGATCCCTGCTTTTGAATGTTTTTGTTGATCTATAATAAAAAAAAATGTTAGCATCTGGTTGTTGATTGGATAACCTGGAGCAGCATTATTCATCTGAATAAATTTAGTTGAATTAGTTCCGGGCTTTTGTTAGTTTAAATAGCAATATGAATAGCGTTATGGTTTAAAGTAACATTATGAATAGCGTTATGGTTTTAAAGCAGCAGTATGTAAGCTCTAGATGCTGAGCTGATGGTCTATGCTAAAATAGTTTAGAAATAGAAAATGAAAAGTTATCATATTGAAAATTTCTTTCAAATTACTTTATTCTGGACGAAGTTATAAATGTTTGAAGCTTTGACTAGAAATAACGCAGTCTCGATTGTCACGTAGCATTACTAATTTTAAGTCCTTCATTTGACATCGTCTGTGAGTGTCGTTCATTTTAACGATGGTCTAAAGGGTTGTCATGTGAATAAATTTGTGAATAATAGAAGCCAGAAAAAGAACCATCAGATTTAAATTTTATATCTTATTACTAACCACTAAATTTTTTAAACACGTGAACATATGTAATTTTCTAAACTAATGAGTGCGTGAGTGACCCTTGAGCATTTCGAGAAATTCAAGATGGCGTCCAAGACGGTCGCCATTTCAAATAACTTCAATAGTATTTAGTCTAGGATGCTAATTTTGGTGTCTAGCCTTATGGTTTTGGGACCAAGGCATTCACTGCACTGACGTCGTTTATTATTTTGTAGGGTGATTAGATGATAGTAAAATCCAAAATACCAGAAAATATGGCCCTTAACTCGATAGCGGCGGTTGTGGGTGATTTTTTCACCAAACCAAACCTATCTAGTGACAAACTATATATTTCTGGAAATAGGGGCATACGAGTGATACGATAACACCACATACATGCCTATCAGGGGTACCAGGGCGACATGGGACGGCCCTGAAAAGGGGGAGCTCAAGCTGTTTTTTGAACATTTAAAAAATCAAGTTCTACCCGCAAAACACACAAATAACACCCACAAAACTAGGTAATATTAAATTTAATCCTTTAGTCGAGTTTCTGACTGCAAAGCAACCCCTAGTGCAGCTACAAGCGAGCGCACTACAAGGGGTGTCACTCTTGTATCCACATCCGATGTGCCATATGACAGATTACGGAGCAAGTTGACCGGTTGTAATGTTATCAATTTAGTATCTTTCACCCAGCAATACAGTTCCGGATCAAGTTCCGGCAGATTACGATCTTCCAGTGAACGCCTCAATAGCTTGGTGATGACATCTTTTTACGTTCCCTACAAATGCATCATTCGTTGGAACAAGACTAAATGGTTAAGGTGGGGATGAGGACGATACAATTCCAGTTTTGGATGCCTATACCTTCCAGCGTGTTACAGGCATCGATTTGTAAGAGCTTTATCCATAAAAATGTCGGATTCGGAAACAGTCATACCATGCATTTTGGGACTAACACATGGTTCAATCAATACAGAGCTCGCGCGTGCGAGGGAGAGAGGGGGGTTTAACTGGACAAAATCTATGTCATTTCGGGACTAACATATGGTTCAATTTTATTCCAATAATTCGCTTGTGCGAATTTAGCAGTCGGGGGAAACCCAGAGGCCCAGAGAAAACATTGAAAACTCCTAGCATTATAGTTGAGGTTCGACAAGACCCTGGGAGCGGGGGGCAAATGGTTAACGCGTGCATGTTGCATCATAAGGTCTGTCATTGAGTCAAGTTGCGAGGTTTCGATTCCCCGCTTTTACGTCACAAGGAATAGGGTGGGTTTGGGTGTGTGTGTGTGAAATAAGCTGATCTCTTACAGGGCATTTTTTTTTAAAAAAAAATACGAATCTCTTTTGTGCGGACATCAGCATCGTCACGCTATGTCAAGCGTCACAATTGGCTTACCCCACTGATAAAGATCCCAAGACGAAATACAACTATTGTTATTACCATCATAAATTAATCGCCAGTTATCTCCCCTACTATTATAAAGCCAACGTGGTGTAAACCATAGTCATATGATCTGGTAAAAAATAAAAGTCATAAGATCTAGTCAAATCATGTCATATGGTCTGGTAAAATAACGGCATAAGATTTAGTCAAATCACGTCATAAAAATTAGTCAAATCACGCCATAAGATCAAGTCAAATGATCTAGTCCGGCAATACTATATTCCGGAAAATACAGGAAAACACCGGAAAACAACCGGAAAACAACATTTTATACTGAATACCGGAAAACACCGGAAAACACACTAAATACCCTAAATACCGGAAAATATCCTAAATAGGTAACCCGGATACTGGCACCCAAAATAGGTAACCGGGAGCCGGGTCCTCGGTGTGCCTGGGTTAGGGTTAGGGTTAGGGTTAGTTTCCGGTTTATAGTATAGCCCTTCTCCGGGTTACCTATTTAGGGTGGTTTCCGGTATTTCGTGTGGTTTCCGGTATTTAGTGTTTTTCCGGTGTTTTCCGGTATTCAGTATAACATGTTGTTTTCCGGTTGTTTTCCGGTGTTTTTCGGTGTTTCCGGTATATAGTATAGCCCATCTAGTCAAATTACATAATATGAAAAATTAAGTTCTACTAACGGATGGAGATCTCTAGTTAGTATAATAACACTTTTGGACAGGATATCGAAATCATTTTTGTTATTTTTTGAATACAAACAAGTAATAAGGGTAACAGAAAATCCGAAGTACACAATGCAAAAACAAATAGTGATAACTTGTTGGGTTTTTTTAAATGGGGGTTTATTTTAGACAGTAATAACAGAAAACGGTGAGGTTATAAATGAGGTTTATAAATGAGGTGAGGTTTTTAAATGGGGGGGTTATTTTAGACAGTAATAACAGAAAACGGTGAGGTTATAAGAAAATTATATTTCACAAAACATAGCACGCGCGGACTTTAACAATTGGGCACGTTGTATTTGTGATCACAGTAGCCATTCGGGTTAAAGGCCAGATTAGGCCCACAAGGAAAAGCTTCTCCAACTCGTCGACCGGAATCACATTTATAGAACTTAGTACAATCAGTTGGGTCAGGTGTGAGATGCTTGCCGTTGCTACACTCATCGTCTGGTGGAGCGGGTACGTGTTCTGGTGGAATTGGTACATTCTCCGAAACACAGTTCAAGTCGGCCTGACTCCAGATCGTAGTAGGTGGACAGTTCTGTAGTTTGGCGACTCCGTTATCACATTGGTAAAATCTTTTGTTGTTGTTTGGATGCTCTAGATATTTTACAACATTTAGTGGACATCGGTCTGAAAATACAGTATTTGAACAGTTAAAATTAGCGACATCCATATTTTGTCATATTTATAGTCTTGATTATCACTATAGTGATACATTAAATGAGTTCCGTGTCTGAGTTCGCTGATAGGCTTGTTTTCCGATTAGGCCAAGATCAGAGCTGAGGAATTTGATTTGTTAATGCTTTGGAACATGATAACTTTAATTCGGGGAGAATGGTGAAACTTAGTGTATAGTTTTATTACATAGACGTTTGCTACTCAGGGTATGCCGAGTGATAAACAATTTGATTGGTCGAAGCTTTTTCAAAAGTAATTAGTGAGTGTCGTCTATTTATTTTGGAAAATGAAATGGGGTTTAACGTACTACGGTTCTATTCCGACTGCGCTAAGGAAGACGGACATAAGCTATACAGTGTGGTATGTGGGAAATTGTGCCCGGACGCGGCGCTACAGCCTACTCTTATATCGAAAACCAACTGTCAGGGGACCTTTAATGTGCAGGCCAATGTGTACACGGGGCCTCGGTTTTTCGTCCCATCCGTACAATTATACGTTATCCCTTGCCCTCGGTTATACAACACTGACAAGGAGGAACCGCGCCGGATAATCGCACTGAATTTTCTCGGCCAACGCCGGGGACCTCCGAGTTAACTAAGCCACGTGGTTCCCATTTACTGTGTGTTTGAGACGGAGGATATAATGAAATGAATAAAGTTTTATGGGGATTGACGCAGACTGGATTAATAAAAAAAAAGACGGACATACGCCATACAGTTTGCTATGAGGAATATTTTGCCCGGACAGCGGCACTACGGCCTATTCTTATATAGAATTCCAACTGTCAAGGGGTCTTTTGTGCGTACGTCAGTGTGTACACGTGGTCTCGTTTTTTCTGTCCAATCGGAACAACTATACGTTGTCCCTGGCCAGGTTACCCGTCCTGCACCACTGACAATGGGGAACTTTATCAACCAATACTGACTTCGAACACGGGACCTCCACGTTAGCGAGTGAACCTCTTACTCACTGAACCACCATATGTTTAAACATATATCAATGATACCATACCTCCACAGTCATCAGTATTACAGTCGATAGTTCTGTTCTCCAGACTAACGCCACTACAATCAGCACCTCCAAAATCAGGGGCGGGATTATTACACGTTCTTGATCTCCATTGGTCCATTTCGCCGGTACCACAGAGGGCGCTACATTCGTCATATTCTTCCCATTCAGACCAGTCAGACCAACCACCATTTACTGAAATCAGTTTAAAAAGAGTTTAACATAATCCTTTTAGTTTATAAAGAGAATTATGAGAATTGCAGTTGGCACGAATTTTGGTAAATATCAAAATCTGGGGGACATCTTGGTTTAAATAGAGAAATATAAGAAACTACAATTGGTACCAACTTTTTGTAAATATAAAAATCTGATGCTTTAACGAAATTTAACCAAGCCAGGATTTACTATGGTGCAATACTATCACTTGGTTTAGTAATGTATTCGACCGTTGTTGATCTTTGCCACAAACAAAAAAAAACCACAAACGATGCATCAAACTAAACATACATCCCGATAAAAGAGATAAATAGTGTTATTCAACTGATGTGTGGGGGGTTGGATGGCTGAATGGTTAGCGTGCGCGCGCTGTATCATAAAGTCTGTCATTGAGTCGACTCGCGTGGTTTCGAATCCCCGGTTGTACGTGGCAAGGAGTAGGTTCGCCTGTCCAACCTCGTGGGTTTTCTCCGGGTCCTCCGGTTTCCTCCCACTACTAAAGACCCCTACGCGCAAGCGAATTATGTAAATAAAATTAAACCATAATGTTAGTCCCGAAATGACCTAGTTTGTGTCGAGTGGACGTTAAACCCCATTTATCTCTCCCTCTCTCTCTCTCTCTCTCTCTCTCTCAACTGATGTAAGTTCTCAACGTGAAAGATGGATGCCTTCTCTATATCTGAATAATCCCAGCATTAAAAAATATACAAAAAAGTTAAAGAAACCAAACATGAAGTCACCAAGGCCATCTTGGAATTGTGACGTCGTATCAAACATAATCGTCGCCTCGAAGAAAAACAACAAGATGATTAGATAATCTATTTTGCTTTTGAAATTAATAACTTGTCATATTGGACACGGTGTTTTCAGATATGAAAGTTGAAGCCAACATGTGGTTCTTTCAGCGAGAGAGAGAGAGAGAGAGAGAGATGGGTTTAACATCCACTCGACACAAACTAGGTCATTTCGGAACTAACACGGTTCAATTTTATTTCAGTAATTCGCTTGCGCGTAGGGGTCTTTAACAGTGGGAGGAAACCGAGGGTTGGACAGGCGACCGTACTCCTTGTCACGTACAACCGGGGAATCGAAACCACGCCAGTTGACTCAATGACAGACGTTATGATACAGAGCGCACGAAACCAAGCCAGTTGATTCTATGACAGACGTTATGATACAGAGCGCCCGTGCTAACCATTCGGCCATCCACCCGCCCCCACCTGTTTAAGTAATCAATTTGATGTTTAAACAACAATAAAAGTAAAACCATTATATTTTATTCTGAATGAATTGCTTCTATGAAACTACCCAAGAGAGTTGTTATTTTACGTGTAACATTCGTGATTTTACTTAAAGATACACCGTGTAAAATATCGTTCCTCCCCAATGTCGCCTAACAGTCATAACCACTTGTTATCGACGTAGTCTCGAGTTTGTACGCGACAGGGAATATGATCGCCCGACACCCAGCATTGGAATAAAAACATACTTCAAGTAATCTCGATCTGGGCAAGAATTGATGTTACACTTCACTCATTCATTGTTTTCTTACCTGGACAAGACTGGGTGTTACATTCCACTTATTCATTTTCTTACCTGGACAAGGCTGGAGGTTACACTCAACTTCCTCAGTTGTAGTTGAGTCCCCTTGTCAAGTTAACGCACCATTAGACGGCGGCGGATTTGTGTAGGTTCTGTTCAAATTTCTAATACGACCTCATTTATTCATTTTTTTCTTACCTGGACAAGGCCGGGTGTTACAGTCAACTTCCTCAGTTGTAGTTGAATCACCTTGGCAAGTTAACCCGCCGTGGGCGGGAGAGGGGTTTGTGCAGGTTCTGGACAAAGTTCTAACTTGAATTCCAGGTCCACAAGTAGCCGAGCAAGCTGTTCTTCCCGTCTCTACATAGTCTGACCAACCACCATTAACGGCTTAAATAAATGAAATGAAATGTGGTTTAATACCATTACTACAGCACGAACCTTGTGCACGCGATCAAGGTGTGAAGCATTGGGATCATAAAAGTATGAACCGTTTCGATTTTCAGCTATCTTGGAACTTCCGTACCGGATTTAATCCACCTTTTCTAAAATAATTTAACAAATGCTACAGTTTCCTATAATTGTATGTTCATAATGTGGAGATATGCCATATATTTATATAATACTATTGTGTACAAAGACGGATTCGGCAGATATTGCAATTGCCTGTGAAATACTGTAGGATACTATGCGGTCATCGGGATTCATTATCATTTCCACAAATTCAGTTTCATAAAATGGCAAACTATAAGTTTAACATAAAAAAAATAGCCTGCAGAAATTAGACCAGTTAGTGATCGACCCATACAAGTCACTGACGTACCGAATTGAAAAAAAACAACTCGTGTATAAACTCATGTACTTACGACAGATTTTATAACATGTGGAAAGTACAGATCTGAAAGAAAGAAATATAAATCATATTTAAAGATAATTCCTCTCAAGAGTATTTATCGGGTGGTTATTCCCAATAAAAGAATAGCAAATTTGGTATATATGGAAAGTATAGACAGTCAATCTTACTAGAAAAATACTGGATTACACAAAAACACCCATGGGGCAAGCACTGGGCAAAGGTGTCCGGGTATCACTAACTTTCAACCTGACTTCTATCTGCCAGCATATTGAGGGAGCGGTTGGTATTTCTTGACCAAACATTGAGGGGTGTCAGCGTACCAAAGACTCATCAATTAAACGGCGTAAAAAGAAGTTGACAGAAAATAATTAAGAATTTACTCAGGCCTCAATATGTATGGTAAATGTACAATAAGTAGTGATAAATACATTCTGAAAAATGGACCCTCCCACAATGAAGTTAAGGTGACAGACATGGCGTCTAACAACAGTTGGGGGATCACGGTGACTAAGTGGGTAAGACGCTGGCTCGCTAGCCTGGAGGTCGGGTCTTCGATCCCTGTATTGGCCGAGAAAGTTCATCCAGATTTCCCGACATGGTTCCCCATTGTCAGTGATGCAGGCCGGAGGACCTGACAAGGGCAGATGTCTAGTTGTTTGGAACTTTTCCCGCCTAACACTTTTGGCGCACCCGAGTCCTCCAAGCTACGTACACATGCGTGCTGGTTGCCTGTGTCAGAAGCTCTGTATAAGAATCACAGCGTATGAAAATTGAATTACCTGTATTTAGAACATCGACTCCAGTTCAGCCATCCACAGGTGATTGTATATTTCTGTTGTGTATAGCAGGAATAGCTGCATCTACAAATATTACACAGTTATGATTCGCATGGGTTCTTTTTTTTTCACGGATCAAATTGATTACAGTTACATTACGTATACAATGAAAGATTTATTATTCATTGAAAACTTGAAGCGTTTATCGGCAAACCAAAAGGAACAAGTTGTGATTAAGTGCTAACGCCCACAAAGGGGTTTGGGTGGCCGAATTGTGACTCTTTCATTGAGTCAAGTGGCGTGGTATCGATTCCCCGCTTGTACGTGGGTTTTCTCCTGGTGCTTCGGGTTTCCTCTCACTGCTAAAGACCCCTACGTGCAAGCGAATTATTGAAATAAGACTGAACCATGTGTTAGTCCCGAAATGACCTAGTTTGTGTTGAGTGGACGTTAACCCCCATTTCTTTCTCTCCCTAACGCCCACTTTTGGGAATAACATATCCTAATAATTTGCCTGTAAGTACCTGGGATAGAAGCCACGCCATTTCACTCAATGATAGAGAAAGAGATCGGGTTTAACGTCCACTCGACACAAAACATGATTCAGAATTATTTCAATAATTCGCCTGCACGTAGGCGTCTTTAAATGTGTAAGGAAGCCCAAGGACACAGAGAAAACCCGAAGGTCATTCCATGACCGCTGAATTGGGATTGATTGTAAGTTGGAAAGGATAAAAGTTTTTGTAAGTGTAAAGTTAGAATAACCCACCACGGTCATAGGCGTACGACCCAGGGGGGCAGGGGTGCCAGCTGCCCCCCTAACTTTCGGGCAAGCTGACTATTCGGGCAACGGGTAAAGTGAAAAAAGAAATTTATTTCATCTACTTGGCAAAATAAAGTGCCCGAATCTAATAAAACACTATTTTTACGGGCTGGAATAGCAGTAAAACGCGTTTGCGGCCGTCAAATATTCCAAAAATTTTCTTGGGGGGGGGGGGCCTTACAAGGTCAGCTCCGCTTCTTCGCCTCTCGAAGAAAACCGGCGCCGCTGTCTGTAAACCTGAATTTCTTTCGGGCATTTCTAGTTTTGCTTCCCTGTCACCGAGCCCTAATAAAACACTAATTTTACTTATCTTTTAATTGAATATCCCACGAATTTGTACTGAGTTGACTATGGATTAAAACATTTTGTCTGGAGCCACTCTACTTTGTGCGACATTTTTCGGGCATCGATTATTATTTGTGAATGCAGCTGCAACAGTCTGATTGAATGGTCGGAATTCAAAATGGGATTTAGGTTAAAAAAAACATTGGATACTGTTGGAGTTGCTTACACGGGCTAGAATAGCAGAAAAAGCATATGCGGTGGTTAAATTTTCAAAATTTTCTGCGGGAGGGTGAGGCCTCCATACTCCGCGACGATTGATTGGTTGTTTGGAATTCGGGTCAGCCAGGTGGGCTATATTGGACCAAATTGAAGTTGCTGTATTCACAGGCTGGAATAGCAGGAAAACGCGTTTGCGGCAGTTAAATTTTCAAAATTTTCTGCTAACGGTCCCGTCTTCGTGAACTGTAAACGATTGATCTTTTGATTGGAATTCGAGTCAGCCATCTTAATTAGGCTTTAATAGACCACTTTGTTCAAGGACTGAAATAGCAGGAAAACGTGTTTGCAGCCGTCAAATATTCCAAAATTTTCTTTGGGGGGGGGGGGTCCATGCAAAGTAAGCTCTGCTTCTTGGCCTCTCGAGGAAGACCGACGCCGCTGTCTGTAAACCCGAAATTTTTTCGGCCATTTCGGGTTCTGCCCCCCCTCCCCCCTAACTGTCATCGAGCCGGTACGCCTATGACCACGGTTGGACTGCTTGTTCGGGGAGCTTTCTGGAATTTTTATTTTTGAAATTATTTATTAAAAACAGTGTATGTCAGAAACTAAGATGAAGTACTAGATAACAATGCTTATCACTGTCCCCCACACCCCACATAAAGCCTCAAAAACACTTGAAGTGATTAAAATGCGGTTTAACGTCCTACTGTTCTGCTCAGAAAAACACTTGAAAATAAATAAATCTAAATGTTTCACTAAAAACTAAACTTTTTACTGTCCCCTTAATGTAATAAAAGGGTGTATTCTCCAGAAGCCGTGTTTTTAAGACTTCCTCGCAAAGACAGGGGCAACTCATTCCAGTTTTATGAGACTGTTAAATTTTAAAGCATAAACATGTAAAACTATATATTAGAAAATATTTATAGCCTTTGAAACGAAAACAATTTGACAAGCCACATAAACGGCTTATATCTTAAAGCAAATAAATAATTTTTTTCTAAATTCAATATTTGGTTTTTTATTAAGTCTTAAAACGAAAATAAATGGGGTTTAACGTACTACTGTTTTGGACCGACTGGATTAAGAAGACGGGCATAATGCGGCAAAACGGCCTAATCATATTTCGAAATGAAATGAAATTGGGCTTAACGTCCTACTTTTTTACACCGAGTGGAATAATGAAAACGGGCATACGCAGTGCAATGTGTGCTATAAACCTCAGAATGCCTCGTTCGGCATTTTTGTCCAGGCGTGGCAAAAACGTGGTAAAAACAAAATGCCACGTTTGTCTGGAGTTCCAAAACGTATTTATTTTAAATTGCCATGTTTTTGGGACGAGGTGTTTTGTCCAGAACTAGGCTTCTTACAAGGTTGGATACACGATTTTTCAAAAGGGTTGGGGGTGGGGTTCAGCCAAACCAAAGTCTCATCGAGCGTATCGAGGACAGCAAAATATTATTTGGTGACACATTCAAGCGATTGTGTACAGACAAAAATACAATGCAAAGTCGACTAGAAATGACATTCGTTGCATAAAAAGAGTTTGTTACATTCTTTGTTGCAGTTTCATATATTCACACAATATTTCCAACAAAGAGATGTGAGAAATGAAAAACAACCAAGTTCAAAGCGGAGCGAAATCAATAATTGTATTTTAGGCACAATTTATGTTTATATAATGGCATGCAAAGTGAACATATATTATAGGGGTTTTCGATCAAATGGAGAGTTGAAGGGAAAATAAACATAGAAATTTTAAATATAAGTTGATTTAATAAGTAGTTATTTAGTTCAAAATATAAAAATTGTATTTTAAAATTTCTTCAATCATAAAAAAAATTCAAGTTACAATATGCCAGAGGGTGGGCGGGCGTCATTGAAACTTTTAACTTTTGCCCAGGGAAGCCACATAGGCTTGTAAGGGTCCTGTACCCCATTCATTCTCTGTTATAATAAATACCTACAGAAATTACTGGGCAATATGGTGACCCTAAGTTGTAGTTGAAACACCTGGGCAACTTAACCCACCGTTAGACGATGACAAATTGGTGCAAGTTCTGATCAAAGTTCTAATTTAAGTCCTCAGTAAGGCCGGCGGAAGCAATTTTTGATTGGGGGGGGGGGGCTACCATCCTAGGACTTTAGGCTTGGGTCCAGGGTCTCCTTACCCAGGGATCAGTATTGAGCATAACAGGTTTTTCTTCTGAAAGTCATCGTTCTAGAAGTCTCTTTGTATCTAACGGCATAATTACGGCATAGACCGGAGGCTCAGCGTGGGGGGGGGGGGGGGGGGTGTCCACCAAATGGGCACAAAACCAGACCCAACTTTTCTAGAGTGAAATTTTGCGTAGAATACGATGCCGAGTGGTAATCAGTCCGCCGTTGGGGCGTTTTCGAGATATTCGGGGTCAAATGTCAAATGAGTTCATTTGCACTGAAAGTGAATGCGCAGTCCCACCCCTGCGCCGAGCCTCCGGTCTATGCCGTAATTATGCCGTTAAAAACAAAGAGACTTCTAGAACGATGACTTTCAGAAGAAAACTCTGTTATGCTCAATACTGATCCCTTGGTAAGGAGACCCTGGACCCTAGCCTAAAGTCCTAGGATGGTACCCCCCCCCCCCCGCGCTGAGCCTCCAGACTAGCAGTAACCTGGAGAAAAGAGTACTTGCGGCCAAATTATCCCCCCCCCACTCCACTCCGCCGGGCCTGCTCAGGTCATTTTTCCTATCAAAGATAAATGTCCATGAGCAGTAGAGACTAAGCAGCTTTACATATTAGTAAGCGCTTTCATTATCCCCGGTTAGTTAAACCCGATTTCATTTCATTTTACATACTGGTATACAAACGGATTTAAAAATCACATAACTATCTTGCAAGTCTGCTGAACTGTTCGTACATACATGCCAGTGTTCTGGTGAAACGTCCCCCTCCCCCAAATTCACAATGTACAATATCATCAGCAATGTGATCACCGAGGCCCGGGGTTCGATCCCGGTGTTGGTCGAGAACGTTCACCGGGAAGGACAGTGTCTATCGCTAAGGTGGAACGAAAAACCAAGGTCTCGTGTACACGTTGATGTGCACGTAAAAGAACCCTAGATAGTTGGATTTCGATATAAGAGTACGTGACCAACATTTCCCTCATAGCACACTGTATGGCGTACGCCCGTCTTCATTAGCACGCTAAACTCCATTTCATTTAATTTCTTAAAGATACATTATGGGAGATTCGATAACGAGTTGGCAGTTCTCACTATAATAGTTAAAAACTAGATAATGTAACGGCAATTTGCTGACAATTTCATTCAAATTGATCCACTATGAACCGAGAACAAAGCGATTGAATTTCCGCCTAGCTTTGATCATCATTACTAAAGTCAGTACGATAAACAGCATAGTCTCGATTATCCATTTAATCTTTAAATCGTGAAGGAAAATTATGCAGTAAATCGGCCTCACAATCCACTGAAGATCGGAGGCTAGCGATGCCATCTAGAGTTGATTATGGTCTGGATAGGTTAATTAATGTCTAATTAATAATTTAGATTACATTTCAGGCCTAAAGAAAGACCTGCAATAGACAGATTTAGCTCTTGCATAATGTATGTTTAAATTTTAGGTTTTAAAAGAATGTGTTCGGGAACTTACGTTGATGCTGATGTTTCATCAAACTTAACAGCAACCACAAGACAGCACACAAGAACCAAGTGGATAGACAACTTCATAGTTTAACAGTTGGTTGAAAGCCTCCAATGCTCAACGTGAATTGATTGAATTCTTTAATTTGATTTACCTTTTATATTACAACGTTAACATGGGATGTATTAATCTAGATAATTTATGGCCTTGTTTTACGGGATTTGGTATGACTTTATTGTTTTCATTGTTGTGGATTTATTATATTTTTGTGCTTCGTGGCGGCTATACAAACATTATTTTATAATTTTATGGTCAACGTCTAGACTTATCTAATAATAAGTGTAGGGGGAATGCATCGTACACAAAACAAATCTACGGACAAGACACGCTACGCAGAAATCACAAACTTATATATTAGATTAAGTGAATGGATCCGGGGGGCCAGCTGTAAACGTCCAATGCGCTGTACATCTCCCCTCCTAAGTTTTTGGATAAACTTACAGAAACAAAAACTTATTTATACATTAGAGGAAAAGAAGAAACATTTCAATTTATACATACTTATCTCCCCCTACCATTAAAAACTAAAAATAGAAATACCAAATCTAGGTATTAAATTGAGAGAAACACATCATATGTACTATGTGAAAACAAAGAATTATATTTGATAAATGTTCAAATGTTTTAGTTTTTAATGTCAGTCTTGAAAACGGGATGTTAACTTTATTACACGTTTTGACAAAGAATTATATTTGATAAATGTTCAAATGTTTTAGTTTTTAATGTCAGTCTTGAAAACGGGATGTTAACTTTATTACACGTTTTGACTTCCTTAAAGAAATACTATCACCAGGGTGTGAATTATTCTCATTTACCATACTTTTGTTAATTTCAGCATTTGGCAGTTTATTTATGTGAAAACGATTTCGTCGAAAGTTGCCCGTTGAAGTTCCATTCGCATAAGAACGAGGAGAAACTTGTCGCATGACAACACCTTTTTTCATTTCTGACTTTTAAAAATACTGAATCGCCTTCACACAATTTTGGTAGATTTTTCACTGAATGTCTTTTATCAAAATTGACTTTTTGTTGTTCGCGTAATTTATGTTCACATGACTTTAGCTTATTCACATCAACCAATTTGCGCTGTAACTGTGATGATATGACAGGTAGTTTGGAATTAAGGCTTCGTCCTATTAGTAATTCTGCAGGACTGTATCCATTACGTAAGGGTGCATTTCTGTAATTTAAAAATGCTATATATGGATCTTTATTGTCCATAAGTTGTTTTGCGGTTCTGACAGCTCGTTCAGCTTCCCCATTTCCAGAGCTATGTAGTGGACTGCTTGTTTGATGATTAAATCCATAACATTTCGCGAAATAAGCAAATTCTGCAGAGGAGTACTGGGTACCATTATCACTAATTAATAGTTCAGGTATTCCGTGATGGGTAATCACGTTATATGAAGTTAGGCTTGCGAGTTTTGCTACTTCAATATAACGAGAAAAGTAATCTACTACAAGTAGGTAATGTGCACCTTGAAATTCAAACAGATCAGATGCAAGTTTACACCATGGTCTTGAAGGGAAGTCTGTAGGATTCAACGGTTCAAGTTTATTTATAGCTTTCGCAGAACACACATCGCAGTTCTTAATAAAGTCACAAATACTCTTGCTAATGCCTGGCCACCAAACGGCAAGTTTAGCTAACTCACGGCACTTTGTAATGCCAAGTTGTCCTTCATGGATGTTACCCAAGATATCAGTTTGTAAGGGTTGAGGGATTACAATTCTGGATCCACAAATTAATAAATTGTCATTTATAGAAATCTCATTTCTGTATTTACGGCAGGGTTTTACGGCAGGATTACCATTTTAATTTCTCGAGGCCAACCATGCATGCAATGGGAATACAATTGTTTACACACATCATTATTTAACTGTTCAGTGAGGATCTTTTGCAAACGTTTGTTTGAGGAGGGAAAATTTGACACAACTAAGTTTACATATGACGTAACAGAATTCTGGAAATCAATATCGTTTTCAGTCGGTTCAGGGCCCTTATTCACGAAAACTTAAACTAAGTTACAACCGAAATTTTAAGAAATACTGCAACTTCATTGGATATATGCAAATTTATTTTACTGGTCAGCCAATCGAATTGCAGTATTTCTTAAAATTTCGATTGTATCTTAGTTTAAGTTTTCGTGAATAAGGGCCCAGACCTTGGGGCTCTTGATGAACAATCGGCTGTGGATAAATTCTTACCAGCAACATGAACTATCGAATATTAATAACGCATAAGTCGCATTCTGTATCTCTGTATGCGAATTGGTAGATTAGTTAGATCTTTAGTTCCTAATAATGAAACTAAGGGTTTGTGATCGGTTTCTATAATAAACTTTGGTAAGCCAAGTAGTTAATCTTCAAACTTTTCACATGCCCAAACTGTCGCGAAGGCTTCCTTATCAATCTGGGGGTATTTTTGCTCAGTGTTCGTCAAACTACGCGATGCGTACGCAACGGGTTTCCATCCACTTGAATGTCGTTGTAGTATGACAGATCCATGAATCGGCACTCACTATAGTTTCCAATTCCTGATTATACAGACTTAAAACTGGACTGTTGGTTAAAGCTTTTATGATTGCTCGAAATGATTCTTCCTGGGGTGTGTCCCATATCCACAATGAACCAGAACGAAGTAAAGCTCGCAAAGGTTTTGTAACAGCAGCCAAGTTTTCTATAAACTTCGACCGCTGATTGACCATTCCCAAAAGTCGCCTTATGTCACCAACATTTTTAGGTTGTGGGAAATTTTTGATGGCGGATATTTCGCCATAGTCTGCTTTGATTCCATCGATACTGACTACTTGTCCTAGAAATCCGATCTCTGAAGTACGCCACTGACATTTTGATTTATTCAAAGTAAGTTTATGTTTACGAAGTCTATGAAGAACAAGATTAAGATTCTTGTCATGCTCAGCATATGATGACCCGTACACAACAATATCATCCATGAGACAGGCTACTCCATTAAGGCCTTGTAATAATCTGGACATGCGCTTCATGAAATGTTCAGGACCACTGGAAATCCCAAAGGGTAGTCGGTTGTAACAGAATCGACCATAGGGACTCATGAAAGTAGTGAGGAGGGCTGACTTCTCAGTCACAACCTCTGATTTGACGCTACTGCTCACGTGTCTGTAGATAACATAGCTATTAGTTCGGGAATTGTAAAGGAATACGAGTAGCCTACAACTAAATAGCCTATGTTACAGTGAGAAACATTATACGCGTTCGAAAGAACTGAGGTGTATTGACTACAAAATTAGGGTATAATATGTCCTAATTACCATTAATAAAAACAGAGAAAAAACAATACTGAATACAAAAAAGTAAACGGAGAAAGCGCGAAAAACATTCCAAGCCCTTTAAAAACTGTTTACATTAATTTTTTCTCCCTCCCACCGTCTCCATAAGAACATAAAAATAATGCGCCTTTCAATTTAAGCTAAATATATTTTGTCTCACACCATTTCCGTATGACTAGATATATATTGTGAACTTTAATTAAAGATACATATGGGAGATTAGATAGAGAGCTTGTAGATCTCACTATCATAGTTAAAAACTAAATAATGTGAAGGGAATTTGCTGAAAATTTCAGTCAAATTGATCCACTCTGAACCGAGATTTTAACGATTGAATTTTGGGTCTAGCCTCGATCATTATCACTAAAGTCAGTACGACAAAAAAAACATAGTCTCCATTATCCATTTTTTGATTTAATTATCTAGAGCGTTAAGCAGCAGATATGATTCTAATGCAGAAAATATCGCTGGCTAGTCCTATGGAAGTATAACGTTGCCAATATTATTTCATTGTTCACGGTGCAAACTGCAAATGTCAGTAGTTGAAAATACGTATTTTAGTTTTACAATTTGCAATTTCCATTGCTCAGCAATACCAATGTCACGGTGTTAAAATACAGAATACACTTTTCAATAATACAAAATACAGTATAATAGTTATTTTGCACATTAACTTCTGCATTCTGCATTTTGCATAATAGACAAATGCATAATAGAACCTTGCATAGTAGAACATATACCTTATATGGGATCTACGACGAACGTCATTTGTATACGGAAAAAAGTCCGGACTATGACGGAAATTAATGATTTACGCGATAAAGCCATAAGGTCACCCGGATTCGAAATGAAGTTAGCACACATATTCATAAATAATAAATAATAATAATATGTCCATTTATATAGCGCCAAATCCACAAATCGTGCTCATAGCGCATACAACTATACAAAAGTCTTTTGGCTCTATGTTTTTTGTTCTTGGTTTTTATTTTTTTTTTTGGGGGGGGGGGTTGAAAAGATGAGTTTTTAATCGAGATTTGAAGATTGATAAAGAAGTCACAAAACGGAGATCAACTGGAAGTGCATTCCATCTTTCAGCGGCAGCAACAGCAAACGCTCTTTGTCCTAGCGCCAATCAACCCTGGATATAATTATCACGAAAATAATTGTTACCTTTATATTAGAAAACGACATATTGATGCAAAGTATATATGTTATAGACCCCCCCCCCCCCCCTCATGAAAAAAAAACCTATTACCGTAAACATAAAAAAATATCACACACAAGGCTAACAGAGCACGCAGAAAAGGGGTACATCCACGTTGCATCAAAACGCACCGAAACCAGCTTTGGTGGCAAAATGTTTTTTTGTTTCATGGAATCAAGGGATGAATAAACTACTAGAATACGAAATTTCAGAAGCTTCCTATGCTGGCTTTTAGAGAAGTATCACCGTAAACATACTAAAACCATGGGGGAATCGGGTTACGGTAGGCTCATCGCTCACGCAATAACTTCTAATATAGCTTTGGTGGCTCTAAGATCTTTATTTCACCAAATCGACAGATGGATAAGATATGAACAGGCCAATTTTCATTTACTTTCTATGTTGGTGTATCGAGTTATGCCACCGAAAATTTCCTAACACCCGGATTCGAGGCGGGATTCGTGGGTACAAAAAACAAAGGGTAAGACCACGCTGCATCAAAAAGCACCCAAACCAGTTTCGGTGGCAAAATGTTGTTT